TATCAACTTAAGCTAGAGCACTGCTATCTTAGAAGCTTCCTATTTAATCAAGAGAAAGTAGACTCTAAAGTATGCCCATGCAACTATAGAGCTACCCAAGACACTACGCATATCCTACTTAGCTGTACGCTATACAAAGAAGCTAGAAAGAAGATGCAAGAAACGAGCAAGGACCCACTATCACTAGCCTTCTTACTAGAAACTAGTATAGGCATACAGGCGACTATTAGGTTTATTGAAGAGACAAAAGCTAGGACACAAGCCTAGTACAAAGGAGACACCAACAACTAGGGCGCCACTAGCACTAGTACCTGCCCTACACCTACCTTACCCCACCTACCACCCGCAAGACCCCCTACTACCATCCGATACACTAGGCTACGAGCCTCACCTTCATTTAGATAACCCCCTCCCCCACCTACATCAAATTGATAGAAACACGTAGATACTTGTAGACCTCTGGTCTACACGTCCTATATAGCCCTAGGGCTGAGAAAGGACGTTAAATCAAAATAATAATAATAATAATAATAATAATAGATCGCCGCAGCAAGTCCAGCAGACACCCTTTCATGCGTGGTAAGAGTCAATTTTCTTTTACTCTCAAGATTGCAGAGAAAACAATCGCATATTCGCTAGCCATTGATACCACTCTCAATGGTAATGATAAGCACAACAATGCAAGGCAGCCACAAATTATTGGATACAGGGAATTCATACAATTATGTTCAGATTCACGGATAATACGCATGCTTGGCTTAGCATAGACAACAATACTTTAGATTACGAATCGTAACATTGAATAACTAGAAGATCATTACATGAAATACGTTTACAGTAATTCCGATCAGAGCTGCGACCGATCATTCGCGAATCACCTCGGAATAGATAGAGTGCAGAGACTCGCTCTCTAGACCTGGCTTCAGAAGCTTGCGATCTCATATCCCTACTTCTTGAAACTTGGACTCTCTTGTAGGACTTCCCTTTCTTGCCCTGTCAGCGTCAGAAGGAAATGCGGGTGGTGGGACTAAATCTTCGTCGAAATGGTCCCGCGCTTCTTCAAAGCTCTCGCCGCCAGATGTCGCGGTCCCTCCGCTGACCACTCTGTCAGTTCTTCTACCTCTGGCCATACTAAGCTCTTCTCCAACACTGGATAAGGAGGAAATGTCTGAGAAGCGGTCCCTATCGACATAGCCGACATGGGGGACGTAGGCGGGTTCTGCGTGACTTGAGCTCGTCGGGTCTTCTGCCTGAAAAGAGACGTGACTATCTATTGACTCTCTGTTAGGCTGGATGGCACTCTTAGAAGAATGAGACTGAGTTTGGGGCAGCGAGGTGGAATCTCGAAGACTTGCACCACCAACAAAACCACTGTCCTTCTCCTTGGCATCTTCGCCATCAACTTCATGCGTAGGTGAATGCTTGGATCGGCGCTTTAGCTTGTTCAATAGCGACTTGAAACCCTTTGAAGAGCCTGGTGAAATAGGTGAGGTTGCATCGGGAGCATCATGTTCAGAGGTTGGTTCCTGGTATAATTCGTCGTTGTCGCGTGAAGCCGCAACATTTTCAGCTGCCGCTACGTCTTTTGACTTGCGGTGCTCCCCTTTGGCCATCCGTTTTTCTTCTGCTTTTCTTGTCTTTTCTGCTTCTTTCTCCTGCTTTGCTGCTAGTTTTTCTTCGGCAGCGCGTGCTTTCGCAGCCCTCTTTTCTTCATCTACTGCACGTTAGTGGTGTGATCTAAAACAACAAGTTTCGACCCTTACCCCGGCCCTGTTTCTCTTCGGCCTTGATCTCGTTGGCGCGTTCTTTCTCTACCCTAAGGCGACGCTTCTCCTGCTCCATATCCAATCTTCGTTCCTCCTCTTCAGCACGTCGTTTTTCGTCTTCTGCCAGGCGCTTTTCAGTCTTCTCGGTGATCTCGTCCAGAGTAGGCTGAATCCTTGCTTGGGCTATGGCATCAATGTCACCTTGATCCATCCATTTGCCGTTGCCAATGTGTATTCTGCCGTGGTTCTCCATTCGAGCCTCTGAATTGGCAACGGCACGCTGTCGCGCCTTTTCATCCCATTCGTCCACCATTGTTGAAGACATCTTGCCAGTCTCGTCATATATCTTCTTGTCCAAGCCTTGCATTTGTGCCTGCACCTTGCGCTGTGCAGCAGCCAGCAATAATTTGCGATCATTCTCGCGTTTCTTTGCATCAACATCAGCTAGTTGTTTATTCAGCTGTTCCATCTCAGATCGGATGCGCCTCGAACGGAAGTCGTCTTCGTCAGAGTCTGAATCCACTGGAGGAGCAGCCTCGGATTCACTGTGTGCCCGGTTGCGTCCACGGCGCAGAGAAAGTTTGGAGCGTGCCGGTCGATCGTAGCCATAGTAACTCCGGTAGGCTGCGTTCTCGTCGTATCCTATCTTTGCCAATCTCTCTTGCGCTAGTTTCTGAGCAGCTTCCTGAATACCAATATAGCGCATTGCCTGTTGTTTAATATCGCCATCACCAGCTGTCAACTGTTGGCTCTGCGCTGCAGTCGCTCCCGTACGGGCAGCGGATGGTCCAGATGCGCCTTCCATACGCTGCTGCTCCTGCACGTCATAAATCTTCTTCGCCATGGAGATGGCGGAAGCTCGGAGGGCAGCATTGCGCTTCTTTTCCTCGGTTTCCAGTGCAACAGGCGGAGCACTACCGTACATGTCTCGTGATATACTCTTGGCATGCTGGATCCGTGCTGCTTCCATGGCGCCATGTTCGAGACGGTTCGAATCAGTGGTGCTAGCGGTACTGGCTTGAGGTCTGGCACGTGTCGAGGCACGGTGAGCCAGTGTTGCTGCACCCAACGCATTCTTGGCTGAGTTCTCCGAGTCAGGGTACAGCGGCGCAGGTGGCGGGTTGGATCGAGCACGTTGTCGTTGTGAGGCAGCATGTGCATCAATAGCTGCAGTGAAAGCGTTCTTCCTGCCCTGGTCGGTGTGTGCGTGGTTGGCCTCGGGACCACGCCCCATCTTTTTCATAGCAAGTACAGCTGCAGAATGGCCATCTGTGCTGGCCTCGGGCTTCCACAGGTCTAGCTTTGTGCCGTCTCTGTGAGCAAGTAGAGCAGCCTTTGAGCCTGCTGTGCTAGCTTCGGGCTGCCACATGGGCGCCATCTTGTAGCCGTTTGCGAGCAAGGCAGCCTTGCCGGCCGCTGAAGAATGCTCGGGTTTCCACCACTCTGGGCTCTTTTTGTTCTGGTTAGCCAGCATGGCCGCTGCTCCCGCAGACGACTTGGTGTCGATTCCGACCACGGGGTAGCTGGGGAGATCCTGGGCTTTGGCGTACTTGAGGCTGGCAGCAGCGCCTGGGAAGCTTGATTAGAACATGATGTGATGGGAAGAACAGCGCGATATACTCACTCGCCGAAGAGAGCTTGCCGTCCGATCCGAGGGGGTTGGCGGTGCGGGACTCGTTTGCCTTGACGGGGCTGGGCGGGTTGTGCGAATACAGAGCGGCGGCCGAGGCCTGGTTCTGCAGTGTGCTGTCAGTGTTCTTTGAGTGATGCGCCGCCGGGTCAGGGCAACGCATGTTCGTCTCGGCTGAGGATGGGAGTGGAGCCGCGTCTTCCGTGCTCTTCAAGGGTCTGCTGTCAGACGTGGGGGCCGCCGTACTCATGGCCGAAGTCATGGTTGTTGCCATTGCGGGGGCGCGTGCTGGAAATGGCAGGCCTCAGGACAGCATACAACTGCGAGCAAGATATAATAATGTCAGAGCGTTACGGGGTGCGATCAAGGCAAGCGCCGGCGACAGGCACGGCGTGTGGCGCTCGCCCATGGCTAAATGACGATGAGAAGAGCAATGATGTCATAGCAAGCGTGGAGGATCGACGTGGGCGCCTTGCCGCTCCAGGCCTGGCGTACATGGCGCCAGGCCTGCGAACGCAACCAAACAGGCCAGGTCATGGGCATACAAAGCGATTAACTTCCAGGGACGATGCATTTTGGCTTTCGTACCCTGGTGCACATCTGCACTGCGGGGTCTTTGCATTTGTCACTCGTCAATTGCCGGTAAGCGAAGCGGATATTTCATCTCACTCTTGCATGCTACCCACCAAGGCCGCAGACAGCATTATACTCTCTTCGGGCTGCTGTGGCTTCTGCCATAGTACCCATCCATGGGCATTGTAGTATCCAAGTGTTACATAAGTACGACGTCTAGTCTGGCTCTTCCAAATACCGTCGGCCGTGGATTTGTCAATGATACCCAGGTAGCTCCAAACCGTTGCAGCCGTCATCCTGTAAAGCTTACTGCACGTGTATAGCTATATCGTGACGCCATGCTCAGTGCTGTATTACTTCTTGCAATTATAGCCAGGGGAGGGTGAGCCCTGGTGTCCAATGCGGCTAGTGTGTGTGCGGCTTTTTGCTACGTCACCCGTGCTCCAAACCTCCAAACCATCTGGATTCTTGGCTTTACAGTGCCTCTCGAATACTTCGCAGTCACAAGAGCTTATCATGGCCGAACTGCGCACCCCGCTGAAAAGCATATTGAACTTTCGCGATGTTGGCCACTTCGTCAACGAAAGTACGGGAACAAGGTACACACCCCAGGTGGCCGACTTGCATAGCAACGCAGCTGATGATGAACCAGCCACCTAAAACCCGGCTTGTTGTATCGAAGTGCTCGCCCTGGTATGTCCCACATAAACTGCGTCTAAATGAGTGCTGACAGTGAGAGATGAGGCTTCTTTGCAGGATAGGCAAAGACTCGTCAAGGAATATCGCATGAGCAGCATCATTGATCTTCGAACAAAGTGTGTTGCAGCAGACTACGAAAACCATGCTGTTTGCTAACAGGTGTTAGAACAGAGCACATTGAGCAAGCACAAAAGCATGGAGCGAGGATCAGAGCTTCAGCGGCGGCGCCCCAGACCAACGACGGCGCAGCAGAGCCACTAAAGATACCCGGCGTCGTCTATCACGAAATCAATTTTAACGGATCGGCCTTTTCGCGGATGCTGCTTTCGAAGCTAGCTTGGATGGAATTGTTCAGACTCCTTGGACTCATGATGCTAGGGTACCGCAAAGATGCCATCAAGATCATGGCTCCGCACATGGAGGAGATGGGACTGGTGGGACTAGCAAATCAGTCCCTGGATGTCTGCACGTACGAGGTTAGACAAGTCTTCAACGTGCTTGCCAAGGAAGAGAACTGGCCACTGCTCGTGCACTGCACACAGGGCAAGGACCGAACAGGACTTGTCGTGATGCTCATTCTCCTGCTCCTGCACGTCGACCTGAGAGTCATTGACGACGATTATCGACTGTCTGAGCCGGAGCTTGCACCCGAGATGGAGGAGAGGCTGCAGGAAATGGGAGCCATTGGCCTGTCCGAGCAGTTTGCCGTGTGTCCCTCAGACCTGGTGCCGAGTGTCAACTCTCACATAGTGGACAAGTACGGCGGCGTTGAGCAGTACCTCGAGAAAGCCGGTGTGAGCAAAGAGCAGGTCGACTTTGTGAGAAGAAAACTCTTGGCAGCCGAGTCGTGATTATTTCTCCCTTGGTCATGTACATACGATGGGCTTGGCAGTTTGGGGGTTTGCTCTTATCAGCCCCAACTTTCTTAACCACATGGGAATGCTGCTAGACGCGTGTATACTAGCGGAACACTATCGCACCACCTGGCCTCCTCTGCGCCGCCGTGCGCCCCGCATGGAAATGGCTTTGCAGCTCTAGTGAAGGACATTGTGTGTCGGTGAGGGTGCACAGAACTGCATATCAGTGATTATCGCCGTCGGTGTGCTGTCAAGTGTCTGGAGCTAGGCTTGGAAAGCCCCCTCATCTGCAGGGGCAAGCGTAACCCCCGGGCGCTTTTCGCTTAGATTCACCGCCGTTAAAGGGTCCAGTTCCCAACACGTCTACCTTGAATCTTCCAAAATTGCTCAGCCGACCCAAAGATGAGCAGCAACACTTCAGAGGATAACTTTGAGTGGGTAGAGACGCCGCCGGCGCCCTCGCCCACGACGCCCGCGTTCGACTGCGGCGTCAAGACGACTGCGGTAAGTGGCCTGTGGACATGCCGACGGCCCCGCCAGCCATTGAGCGACAACGCGGAGAGCCACTCAGCTGACACTCGCCAATGTATAGTATCCCACGATTGCGAACGCCCCTCTCCCTGCAGAAGGCTCGGGCCGTGATTCGTTCAACAACTACGTGCTCATCACGCTGCTCACGGGCATCCCCGGCTACATCACATGGAGCTGGGGCATGGGCTTCAAGACATGGCTCTTCCTCGCCATTGTCTTGTTCCTGCCCATCCTCGGCCCCTTCTGGTGGCTCACGTCTGAATTTGCTCCCCGCAAGAACGAAAAGGCCAAGCTTCCCGGCAAGCCCATCGAGCACTACCTCAAGTTCAACAAGCCCGAAGACCGCGACGCGTACTACGGCAAGAAGCAGATTCCCATTGAGACGTTCCAGGAGAAGTATTTTGATGGCGAAGTTGAGATCAATGGCGACATGCTCGAGACGCTCGAATGGCGCCACGACTGGTCCAAGCCCCGCTTCACCCTCGGACTGATCAAGCACTTCCTCCTTGCCATGATCCCAGAGATGATTGTCCACTCCAAGTCTCAAGGCAAGCTTCTCCAAGCCCTCTGCATGTGCATATGCTGACCCCACGCCAGACGAAGAACAGGTTCGCGACCACTACGACCGCGGCGATGACTTTTACGGCTGGTTCCTCGGTCCCCGCATGATCTACACTTCTGGTATAATCTCCGACATCAACACCGAGGAGAGCTTGGAACAACTGCAGGACAACAAAATGGCAGTCGTCTGTGAGAAGATTGACCTTCAAGAGGGTGAAAAGATGCTCGACATTGGCTGCGGCTGGGGCACGCTTGCAAGGTTCGCTTCGGTGAACTACGGCGCGAACGTCACCGGTATCACGCTTGGTCGCAACCAGACTGCCTGGGGCAACAACGGCCTCAGGAAAGCTGGCATTGAGGCGGACCAGTCCAACATTCTCTGCATGGACTACCGCGAGATTCCTGTTCCTTCTGGTGGCTACAACAAGATCACTTGCCTGGAGATGGCTGAGCACGTCGGTGTTCGTCACTTGGGAGGTTTCTTCCGTCAGGTCTACGACATGCTCGACGACGATGGTGTCTTCTTCCTCCAGATTGCCGGTCTCCGTAAGGCCTGGCAATTCGAGGACTTCACCTGGGGTCTCTTTATGAACAAGTACATTTTCCCTGGTGCCGATGCCTCCACTCCGCTCGGTTTCGTCGTTGACACCCTTGAGGGTGCCGGTTTTGAAGTCAAGATGGTCGACACTATTGGTGTGCATTACTCTGCTACTCTCTGGAGGTGGTACCGTAACTGGCTTGCCAACAAGGACAAGGTTGTTGCCAAGTACGGCATCCGTTGGTTCAAGGTAAGCTTTGCATACTCTGGTGTTTTTACTACAAACTAACCGTTGGCTAGATCTGGGAGTACTTCCTCGCCTATTCCACCATCACTTCTCGCCAGGGCAGCGCTACTTGCTTCCAAATCACCTGTGTCAAGAACCTCAACGCTGTTCACCGCATTGACGGCATCAAGACTCAGTTCAGTCTCGCTGGTGCCCTCGCTGCTAGCAAGGCGAAGCTTGCTTCCAAGGCCCAATAGAGGCGCTTTACCGCAACGTTCCACGCCGTGTTGTTTCAACATATTTTACTCTGGATCAGGAATCGAGGGTGGAAGAGACACCGCCGTACACAAGGACGAACCATATCACAGAATACAGGGCACTGTGAACACAAGTCATGGGTCTGGTTTCGGTCTCAAAGTGACCGTGCCAGACAGCTGCTGCCGGTCAAAGGAAAAGGCTTTGGCCCCCAACCAGTCCTCATGGGCAAATAATCCATCGGTAAATATGATAACGTAGCATACATAATGACTCGATCTAGCATGTAGAAACAATCAAACGCTACGCATTTGAACGTGATCTTCATATTGAGTGTTTGGCCATCAAGCAACCAAACGCCCATCTCACCATCAAGTGAGCCAATCAGAGCACACCAAACAATTAAGGTGGTATGGTCTAGTGGTATGACGTCGCGTTGTGGCTGGCGGACAACAACAAAAGTTGTCCTGATCCAGATCCGCGCCAGCCTGGGTTCGAGTACGTTTGCTTTCCCACACACAATCCATAATTGGCGGGCCTGAGACATTGTTCTAACGTGTCTATAGTTCCCAGTACCGCCAAATTTGCGACATTACTTTTTTTTGGGGGGGGGGGTTTGTGGTCTACTTTTTCGCTCTTGTTTTTTTTTTTGACTTGGTGACTTGTTGTTGCTCTAAAAGGGGTAGCGCTTTTTTTTTGAAAAAAAAATTACTGATTTCTGGATGTTTGTTACTGCTACCTGCTTCTAGTATGTGTGAATGTATGTGTGTGATAGGGAGGAATAGTGGTTGCAAGTATTCATTCATCTGTAAGCAATATTTAGAGTTTAGTAAGGGAAGGGGTTGCTTATCCGCATATCTAAAGTGATGAGGTGAGCAGCACACGTCATGGCTCAACAGATTTAGAATAGACTTTTTGCAAACAGCGCGGGGCCGGGGAACGACAAAGCGTATTCCCAGGTTGAAATAATCCATATTGGAGAAAAAGAGAGAGAGAGAGAGTGTGTGTGTGTGTGTGTTTGTGGCTTGAAGAAAAGAGAGCAGAAAAATGCCCTACGTAGTTACGCCACGACCCAAGCACACGATGCTACCATAAAGAAACAACTTTTTTCTTACATCATATCACAAGTACAACTCAGAATGTCGTGGTTATCTTTTCCAACTGCTTTCTTCAAGGACTGCCAATCTTCTCCCTATACTTCCGAAGCAAACGCAACTGCAGAACAAGACACTGCCAACCCAAGTTACGACGGCTAGACTGTCGTAGGTGACCATGCCGACAAAGAGTTGTTGTTGTGCTGCATGCGCTGTTGTGCTAGGCACAGAAGGCAGCTGCGTGGCATTTGTGGTGAGGGGTAGACTCGGCGACGGCAGGACGGTGGTATTGGAGAGAAAGATGAACGAGGTAAGGACCGAGGTTACCGTCAGCGAGACGGAGAGACCCGGCTTGGAGCGGTCGAGTATGTACCAGAGGGCGGGGTTGACTAGGGCGAGCGTGAGGGTAAGCTGGAGCGTAGACTGCCACGGGAGGCGACGCTGGGAAAGGCGCAAGTTAGCAACAAGACCCATGGCAGTAGTATATAAATCCGGGGTTAGTGAAAAAAAAACTCACAATGGCAAATGCAATGCCGACAAAAGCAGCCACGCTCCGCACAACCTCGTTGATCTGCTCGCTGAGAGGGGAATCGGGCGTCTCGGCCTCTTTGTTGTCTCCTGCCTCGCTGGCGCCTCGCTGCGAGTCCCACAGGAGATCAACGTATGGTAGCAGGCTGCCGAGCGCGACGCCGAACAAGCCCCAGATCGCAAAGTACACATGGCCGTTGCGGTGCATGCTCTCGACAACGTGGACCCTGGGAAACTGGCGTGTCTCGTGGAGATGCGAGACGATGACGCCGTAGATGACGCCAAAGACAAAGAGCGACACGAGTTTGCCAACGAGCACGGCGTACTTCCACATGCCCTGTCGCGGCTGCCTGATGGAATGACTCCTTTTCCTCCCAGGCACCTTTTCCATGGCTGCCCCCTTGCCAGCGAGTTTCTTCATGCTCAGCCCGCCGTCTGAACTGCGCACACTTGGCTCCTGGTCGTCGCTGCCCACGGCTGGGTGTCGTGGTGTCTCCGCGCCTGTCCCCCAGGGCGTTTCCACTACGCTCTGCTCTCCGGCGCTTGTCGCATCGTAGATGCCAGACAGGGTGCTGCTGTTGAGATTCAAGAGGCTCTTGTTGCGCGGCGGCAGATCGTGGTCGTGCTCTTCTGAGTCATCGTTGCGCGAGTTGTATGTCCTGAGCAGACGCGCGTTCAGCTGCGCGAGGAAGTCGGACGGGCGGCGGTTCTCGATGGCGCTGGGAGGCGTCGATTGCGCATAGTCGTGTGTGGGCGAGTCTGCCGAGTCGTTGTATGGGCCAAAGTTGCGGCGTGGAATGGGACGGTAGATGTGCAACGGGGGTTGTGTTGCGTGCGAGTTAGAAGAAGGGTCTCCTGCCATTGCCGTTTGGGCTCGGTGCCAACCCGATCAGGGTTTCGCAAGTCTGGGGGGAGGGAGAGAGGAAGGTGGAGGCTTGCAGGCTATGCTGTGGAATGCACAATAAAAATCAAACAATAGACTGTAAAGTGAGTGAAATGAAGGACAAGACACAATCTAAGCGCCGCAGAACCGATGTGCGCTTTGGTCCGATTGTTGCTGTGTTGGGGTTGGGACGTTAATGTAGCCCTGAAGTTATGTCAGTGCACGTGAACCTCGACGATGCGCTCCGTCTCGTATCAGCACGGTCTAAGCAAACATACAGCGTTCAGGCAGTTCAATTGATACCGCAGGTCGCAGGTTGACTCGTACAAGGCATGGTGAGGCGGCTTCGGGGCATACTGATGTAGACGACGTTAAAGCCCTCTTCTTGCATGTGTCAATGCCGTGTTTCATGTGAAGATCGGCCGACTGTTCCGCTTATGGCCCCGCTGTCACCCGCATTCTCAACAACTCTAGTGCATTGAACATTTTGATTCTATGCGGCCACCTTGGTTGGACTTGTACTGATACACTAACCCTTTCGTGCCAATGATGCTACACCTCGCACCCTGGCTGTTCGAGCCTGCCTAGGCCATCGCTGCAAATGAGAACGCTTTTGGTGTCTATCCCAGTGCAACCCACTCCAGCCAGCAAATGCTCAGAAACGCAATGCACATAATTCTGGCCGTCGTATCCTTCATGTCCACGTCATCCCGTCGTCAGTGTGTTGTTCCAGCTCCTGGAGAGCTTCCCTGCTGCCCGCCCCCTTCTCAGTCGACAATGGGTTGGAGGATGTTACCGCTAGGAAATGGTAAGCATGCAGCTGGTCATCAGGGATAGAGTCAAACTTACGCCACAATGTTGGCCCAACCAATAAGACGCCAGTGCTTTTCAATACGTCTGGACAAAGCGACCTTCTCACCAATCTCTGTGCATGCTGGCGAGGTGAGAGATAGGCGGGCAGCGTCAGCCTTGACGGCGACGACCTTGGCACCCGTAGCAGTTGAACCAATGTTGACCATCTAAGAAAACGTTAGCCTTGGCCTGCACTTGAACGTTCCCAAGACATACCAAAACTTCGTTCTTTGCGAGCTTGGCAACCTTGGCCTGCTTGCCGTCTGCGGTCTTGACTCCGAGCAACCTTCGGAGAAGGAAGTAGTTGACCTCGAGCTCAGTGTAAATGTTGGGGAGATGGCCACGGAGACCAAGGACGAAACCAACGAGACGATCCGCACGGCAGAGCGTGGGGTCTACGCGTGTACCGACACCTGGCATATGTTAGTTGGACCATCAACAAGGCGACTCGAGCCACATACCAATCAAACCACCAGGAACAGCAAACTTTAGGTCATTGTGCTCTGCGAACAGGGACACGACTCTTGAGAAGATGGGCTTGCACTGAATCTTTCCTGAGCTGTCCTTGGACACAATACCAGGCCTGATCTCAATCTCGTCACCCAGCTTCAGCACACCAGTCAAGATACTGCCACCAGCGACACCACCCTTCAGCTCGTCAATCTCCGCACCGGGCTTGTTTACGTCGAACGATCGAATGACAATCATGTGTGGCTTTGCGGAGAAGTCGCGGACTGGGACTGGGATCTTGCTGATGAGTTGCTCGTTGATGGCATCAATGTTGAACTTGAGTTGGGCGGAGATGGGCACAATGGGCGATCCATCGGCGACGGTTCCTCGGATAAACTTCAATATCGACTCGTAGTGGGCCGCAGCGCTGTCCTCCCGCATCAGGTCGACCTTGTTCTGGAGGATGATGATGTGGTTGAGCTTCATAATCTCAATGGCAGCAAGATGCTCGCTGGTCTGCGGTTGCGGGCAGGATTCGTTTCCGGCAATCAGCAGCAGTGCGGCGTCCATGACGGCGGCGCCCGACAACATTGTGCTCATGAGAATGTCGTGACCGGGGCAGTCGACAAACGAGACGTGGCGCTTCAATCGGTATCGTCCTCCGCATCCCTCACGCTCGCAAGGCGGGTCGACCTCCTTCTCGCTCTTGTACGACCGGTAGCATGTCGGGCGCGGGCACTCGGAGTTGTCGCACTGGTAGATCTTCGCGTTGGCGTAACCGAGCTTGATGGTAATATTCCTCTCGAGTTCGTTCTTGAAGCGGACCGTCTGCACACCCGAGATGGCCTTGACCACGGTACTTTTTCCGTGAGCGACGTGGCCAATTGTTCCAATGTTGATGGTTGCTTGGCGGGAGATGATTTCGGGCGACAGCGGGCTCAGCGTCGAGAGGTCGAGGGTGCTTGGGTCTGGTTGTTCGCTGTGTGCGCATTAGCTGTGATGCCGTGTGGCTGCATGTCTGGCAAACCTACGGCAGTTCCGGGCGCTCAATGACGGGAGCCGGCTCCCGCCCCTTCTTCAGCGCAGACTTTGGCTTGGTCTCCTCAATCTCCTCGTGCTCAGACACGCTCTTGTCGTCGCGGAACTCGTTGTCGGACTCGGACTCCATGCTGGGCAATCCGTGTACTACTCGTCCTTGTCGGGGAGGGCAGCGTGGTCTCGAGGGCCAGGTGCAAGGGCTTCAGGATGTCGAAGGGGGGGATGGTGGCAGTGGAGAAGGGGGCGGCGGCCAACTTTCGACTTCAAATCCCACACAAAGTGACTCAAACCCAGAACAGCCTCGAGTGGTGGCGGGGCAGCGGCCGGGCGCCAAGTCCCGGCGAAACGTTTTGCCGCGGTGCGCGACACAAAACTTCTCTCGCGCCCTGCCCCGGCTTCCTCCCTCATTGAACAACGCAAAAAATCGCACACTCACGAAAAGCATTTTCATTGGAGAGACCCGTCGTCTGCGGACGGTGTGAGGTTTCCATGAGAACGAAAACCGTCTGTGAAGTGGAGAGGAATACAGCGGCTGATCTTGGGTGCGGTTTCTCCCTGCTTTGCAGTGGGAGAGAGCGCAATGATCGGTCGTACATTACGTGAAGATATGCATGCCATGTCATTATCTATGCCGCTGCATGGTATAGACGTCCTGTTCAGACTGCTGTTCTCGCAGCTGTTGTTGCAAGTGGTGACTTGGATTATCGCCGTCTCGTCGCGTCGCGTTAATTCTGCAGCCCTGTATGGCTCGTCGGAGCGCAGCTTGGCATCTGAACATACATCAGTCGTGAATGCTGTGCGCAATCTCGAACCATGGGGGTAAAGGCCACCAGCCTCTTATTTACACCTCCTGGTCAGCCTCGCGACGAATGGTATACGAAAGGTGTACGGTCCCAACCCAGCCGCCTGGGCACAACACGGACTGTGTGAATACTGGGCGACTATATGCGATGCAACCCCGTTACATTCCCCAGTTGGCTCACTATGGTCTACGGTACAGTACGGTACGTTGCAACACAGCTAAGCCGAAGCTTAACCCCCTAGGCCTCCCAACAACGCATTGTGAAAAAGTAAGCCTAGCATTCCATGGACCCTGAAATGCTCTCTCTTTCTCTTTGCATCTTCTCCGTTGAGTTTCAGCGCGCGGTCCAACAGAAAGCATGGACTACCTGCACAGTCAGGCTTATGCTCCACGGAGAAGACCGAGCTCGTGGGTACCCGATCTCTCGGGACGCGATCTAGATCGTGTATCACCCGTGTTTGCACAAAATACGCAATTTACAGTAAACAAACACGTGTGTGTGTGTGTGCGTGTAGTCAGATCGCAAGCCATCTTTCCCCATACCTCGTATAACACCTACACAATTCCACTTTTCCATAGCCGCTGCCAAAAGAATAAAAAAAAAGAACAAACACTATCTTGCCTCCCACACGCTATTGCTATACCCAGCCACGCACCCTACCCTACCCTACCATCTCCCCATCCAACCCTCCCGCAAAACAACCACTAAAACCCCCCCACCCCACCCATCGTATTCCCCAAACACCCACACACAAACACCTTAGTCCGACCCACCGACCACCCCCCTTCCCAACGGTCCTGAAATCTCCACCAAACCGAACCAAGCCCGGCCAAGCCAAACGAAACCAAACGCCTCTCCCGCCACTAAGTAGGTCTGAGGAACTGTGTGTGTGTGTGCCATTGTGTTTAGTGTAGATGCGGCGCCAGCTACCATACGTATGTGTGTGTCTGTGTGTGGTCTCTCCCCTTAGTGCCAAACTTAGTTCTGCGTTCCACGTACCCCACATGTGAAGATGAAAGGAAGAGAAGAAGAAGAAAAAAAAAAGGGAAATTAATGTGCATGGAATGGCAGAAACGTATGGGAATGCAGCGGAGCAAGGAAAGGGAGGGGGAAGGGAAATTGCAGTAACGTTTGCGTGGGGTCGGGGTTACTTGGATGGATGGTTGGAAGTGGATGGATGGGATGGGGGAAGAGGGGGGAGGCTGGGTGACCTTATTTTCTCTTCTTCATGTATCGTTGGTTGAATAGATAGGTAGGTAGGTAGGTAGGTCGGTGTATGTATATTCCTTACTTAGAAGATTAAAGGAATTTTCGACAAGGTCAAGTCTTGTGGACGTGTGTATGATATTTACAACGCCTTCGTTTCTTATCCTACAGCGGTTACGTATGTATGTATACTGTAGGACCCAACGAGCGAACAAACGAATAGAGACGAGAGGGAGGCAAACACGGATATATGCATGGATAGAGAGATAAAACGAGGGACAAGGAGATGTGATAGCGGGAGGGTACATCTACACTACACTACACTACCCTGGTGAACTCCGCTCCACACCATACTATACTTCCAACACCCCCTCCTCCTCCTCTCCCTTTCCCATCCCCAACCCGTATCAAAAACACCCGTGAATATACAAAACCAAACTGCACGTCTATGAAATCAGAAAAGCAGTCAAATAATACGATATAAATTGATTTGATTTGCTTCGCGCGCTCTGCAGTATATATATATACCACAACACTACATAAGGTCGCTCCATACCATGACAATACTTGATTGAATACTGAATATTGAATATTGAATACTGATATATCGATATTTGATACTAACAAACGAAAAAAAAGATTTCCCTTGATAAAAACGCCCATCTATGCTATAAATAACTTGGCTAGTTTATAGAAACTGACAAATGAGAGAGCAAAAAGAAAAGAAAAAAAGATGTAATAGCGCGTGTGATGATGATGATGATGATGGATAATGGTTTAAGAAGGATAATGATAAGGATGATGATAAAGGAGAGGAAGAAAAGAAAAAATCTGGCGGTTGGTGAGGGGTGGGCGTCGAGCTTTACAAATACTTTCAAAGTCGCGCTGCGTTAAACGGTTCGTATATCGTCGTTCCTTCTCTCTCTTTCTCTTTCTCTTTCTCTCTTTTTTTTTGTGGTTCCCGGGAGGGCAAAGGGCGAGGCAGGGTGGTGCCGTGCCGTGCGGGATATCCCTGGCCTTCCCCTTGCTGTTGCCCTTGCATTTCCCTGGCCTTGCATTACCTCTCCTAATCTTACTCTCCTCACTCCCTGCCCCTCTCCTGGCCCCTCCTTTCTTTGCATTCCACGTCCATCTTCCTACTCTTCTGTACTCTACTCTTGTCCTGTCTTCTCTTGACTCTACTGTCTTGATCGCAATCGTGCATACCACACAGCCAGCAGGCCATCTGTAATTAACCAACAATCCTTAATTAATGTTATTCCGGTAGTGTCCTGTTTTCTTCCCGCCTTTTCTTTTCTTTACAAACTACGAGTATTAATAATAATATGCTTGGTGGGTAAGCGTTGTCGGTGCCCCCGCCCGGTGGTGGTGGTAGTGCATGCTTTGCAATTGGCAGTAAATGGTAGCATGAGCGTAATGGAAATGTATATACTACGAGCTCTTGCCCGCTTCGTACACTCTAGCCATGAAGTCGTCTTCGTCGAGCTCAATCTTCTTTTTCTTGAGGGTACGCGCTACCTGCGCGGCATCGCCCTCCATGCAGCTGCCCTCGAGAATGGTGAGGATAGCCACGGCGGCCCGCGGTAGGTTCTTGTCGCCTTCGATGGTGTAAATGTCCATGATGCGTGCCGCGTGCTCGACTTCGAGGCGCCCGCAGAAGAGGGAGCCGAGTGTGTGGAAGAGATAGTCTCGCGGCTCGACACGCAATGTTTCTAGTCGTTGTGCCAGGCTAGGCGCTTTCTTCGAGAGAACGTGCAGCGTTGTCGAGTAGGCTGCGTGGATGGCGTTTTGGTCGTGGATGAGGAAGGAGAGGGGCAACGGGCGGTTGAGCAGGTTACACAGCGCAATAAAGGCTTGCGGCGCGGGTAGATTGAGGAGAAGTAGTGCGGCAATATGGTGGATATCGAAACTGGAATGCGGAATGTCTGGGCGGTACATGGAGTAAGCCAAGCAAACATTGACAAGGTCCTGGTGGAGCGGCTGCTCGTCTTGGGTATCTGATATCTGCGCGGCAAACATTTTGAGCTTGGGAAACACTTCGTGCGTGCTTTGGACAATGTAAACGTAGCGGCCTCCGAGCGCTTCGTGACCGTGTGCTTTTACTTCTGCCCTCGCCTTCTCAAGCGCAATGTGGTAGGTTGTCTCGGTGACTTCCAGGTCGTTGCCGATTGCCATTTGCCAGACTTGGCCCCGCAACCGTGGGGGGATGCCGTTCCACCACATTTTCCTGTGCGTTGCTCGGAGCTCGGAATTTGTCATCTCTGTAGCCCAGTTTGGAAGTAGCAGGCTAGACCAATACTCTGCTTTGATGCGGCTGGCTTTCTCGCGAGCAAGTGCCTCTTCTTGGGCACGCTTGGCCTCAAGGCGTTCTGCACTTGTTAGCTTGTGTCAATCTAAACCACAGTGCAAAGAAAACTGCTTACCCGCCTCCTCAACCCGAGCCAGCATGCGCTGGTACTCCTTGAGATGCTTCTTCTCCTCCTTGGGGTCCTTTGGTGGGAGCCACGATGGCCGTGTCCGAGAAAGGTATTTCTGCTTCTCAACCGATGGCTGGAAAGGGTCAATGAGAGGATCGCTCTTTCGCACCGGTGGCAACGCTGGCTTCTTCGTTTTCGTCGTAGCTTGGCTCACAGATGCCGCTCTTACAAGGCCAGGCTGCTGTCTTGCAACTTCCTGTTTACGTTCGTATTCTGACTGGTACTCCTCCAACGCTTCGGTCAGTTTCCTGGCATCTGGATCGAGCGCACTGTATGTGTCGACCCATGTAGTCTGCGGTGCCGGTGATTTCGGAGATACGCCTCTGCTGGACACGTTTGGTGATGGGGTCCTCTGGGAATTTTGCGACACGGAAGGGGCTGGGGAAGCCTTGGAGGATGAGGATTCAGTAGCATCGGGGCGTGGTGATGTCTGAGGCGAGCCCTCGCCCGCCCAGGATCCTGGCGACCGGTCTTGGGTCGGACGCGGCGATATGGGAATATTCCAGATGACAGCGTCTTCGGGAAGCTCATCGTCCTCGTCATCGCATTCTGCTTCTCTTTCCTTGACCGTCTTGCGTTTTGAGTCTTGCCACGACTGTCTTCTGGATTGCAGACCTGGTGACGGCAACATGTTGTTTTGCGAACTTTTCCGCGATAGGGTGCGTGACCCCGACGAAGATATGTGGGTATTGGAGGGCGATGGCGATCGTGAGATGCGGTGCGGTGCAGTAAGACCTAAAGTGCCGAGGGTGGGAGCCGACGGCGAAGTGAAACCTCTTCGGATCTGCTTCCCAGGTGCAGCAAGCTGCGTCTGCTGTCTTTGTACGGCATAGTTGACTTGGCCCTTGAGGCTTGGGTACTTTGGCTTGGCCGGGCTGGTGAGGTCACGGAACGAGTGCTGGGTGGGGTGAGACAGGCTCCTGGCCGTAACCACGGCGCGGGGAGCCTCAAAGACGACGCGGTTGGACGGGCTTCCAGGCATGGGAAAGGACGCGGGCCCAGCCGACGCCTCGTCCAGGTTGATGTCCTCGAAATGGGAGAGATTCTCGGTGGTACCCATAAAGTCCAAGAGCGTCGACGAGTGTATGCTCGACGACTTTGAGGATTTGGAGTTTGTGAGGTCGGGCGGGCTGCCAGGCGGGGCGCTGAAGGAGGACGGCGCATCCTGTGCATATGTGAGGGTAGCCATGAGCGGTCGGGGCGGTCTTCGCGGTGTCGAGAGGCGCAGTGGTGTGCCAATGCGGTGAGAGAGAGGGTTCGCGCAGGTGTCGCGCGCGCAAGGGTGTGGGCTCAACGAGGGGACATAACTATGCTCGGATGCTATGTACAGAGAAGAGAGGTGCGAAACGTAGTGAATGTCGTCGTCGAGGAATTCGCTGTCGCCGGCGCCGTCAACAGGAGGCAGTTGCTGGCGATGTTGTACGGCAGGCATCTCGAGCGTCGGCGGCGCAATTTGCGGACCTGACGCTAGCCCCTGATCGCAGATGGGGAACAGGGGGGTTCAACAGTGGGCCTTGCTGTGCTCTGGGCCCATGGGCGGGCTGCAGTCGCCTTGGATTTGTTTAATTGCGAGCCAATGTGTGTTTCTATTCGAGCTGGTATTGTATATACGTCAGGCACGGGCGTGGGGATGCAGCAGTCGTCTGGAGAAAGCTGGAAGGATGGCGAGGTGAGACAGAATGCCGCCGATTCAGACATGCGTGCTTCTTCAAACATGTTCGATGCGACTAGTCACCAAGGCGTTCGACCAAACTCTGCCTCCTTGGATCTGTGTCTGCTTGACCCTGGCACACGAGACATCTGAGGGCCGTAGCATAGCATGGACGCTTGACATCACGATCCCATGGCGGGCGGATAGTCCAATCGCGGCGCGCCAACACCGTCTGCCATGCTTATCGTCGAATCGTCGCTGGTCCGCGTAGCCACTACCGCTGCTTTGCTCATGGCGACCAACGCATTGAGATGCATTCAGCCCCGAATAAAGACATCATCTCGCTCTGCTATCGATCCGTTTCTCCCGGCTGTCCTGCAGCCAAGCCGTGGCGTGGGTCCCCGGTACAGATCCCTGGTTTGCTTCTTCCCATCCGCAAATTCCTCCCCAATTCAACCGATACCTTCGCTGCCACTCATCCACACACGCAGCCTGCGTTTCCTCCTAATCGGCTTGCCCTGCTTTTTGCTTTCTTCTTCTTCGTCTTCTTTGCCGCTGTTGAGCCGCATGCGCATTGTCCCTGATGGGCAGTCGGTTCGTTATTTTGGCACAGTCTGCTTTGGGCGAGTCGATCGGTATATCCTTAAGCTTCAATGCCGTGCGGCGGCGTCCTCTAGCATGCGTCGTTCAAGTGGGCTTGAAATGCAAGCCGCCGCTAGAGAGGCTTGAAGCCAGCCTAACAGGGCGCGATGCTGAGTCTGCTTGCCCTGAAACGCCGTCTGGAAGGCTTTACAAGCCAGCCTATCCCTTTAGTTAGCAGGTGTCAGAAACAGGTAACGATGGCCCCCGCCATGTCATTTCCCGGACCGTGGAGTTGTTCCAGACGAATCATGAGTCGCGCACCCGTCCATGATGTGATGCGCCGACGTCAGCCACACTTACCATTGAAGCTGCCGGCGCGAGATGACGCCTCGCACAATCATGGCTTCTCTGCTCCCGCAGCAGCGCGAACGGCGCTGTAGCATTACATGGGCTAGCGCGATGATGTTGTCTACCGTCTCTGGAACCCAGGTCAGTAACCTTGGCCACTAGCGCAGGCGGTACACAGGCAGCAGTGGCAGTGATCGCCCACACGCATTTTCTTGCTGCATGAGACCCCCCCCCCACGTTTGGTTGGAGTGGTGTTGAGTCTTTGGAGGGCGACAAATCAAGAAAATGTACACGTACTGATAAGCAGGCTGGAGCATGGCGTCCGCACTCTGGATAGCACGCGTGTATATTCCAGGCACCTCACCGCCGCTTCGTAGAAGCTTTGGTGCAAGTTCGCAAGCACGGTTGCCACGCTGTTCAACGACGGATCGATAAGCATAGCTTTGAGCTGGATCTTGAACGCGCTATCAAAGGGGTTAGTGCACTGTCGGACTTTTCCATGCCGTTCATGGCCCGATTGGCCGGGAAAGAAAGCATGGCACGGGTCTTGTGGAGGAACTCACTTGAGGGCTTTCCGATGAAAGGTCTGGCCGGGCATTTTTGCCAAATCCACAGTCAGAGAATCCTCAACAACTGGTGTAGTCAGCACCTTGTAGCCCCAGCCCACTTCTTGTCTAATGCCACTCACCGGATTTTTGAGGCCGCTCGGTCTTCTTGCTAATCTCCAGAGTCGCCGTGTCAATGCAGACGCCACAGTATGGGAATTTCCCGTCAGACCCGCTTGTAGCAATCCGCTCACCACTGTCTGTCGTCACGTCAAAGTTGGCCAACGATTTTGTCGGCTTCACTACCACACCATATTCCGGGTGGCCTTTGTGCATGATGCGCACAAAGCGTTTGGCGTGTTCTTCCGTGATGCTAATCAAAAGAAAATCATCGAGGAGACGGAGCAGGAGACAATCGTCACCAAGAGCAAAGCCGAGCACGTCTCGTTCAAGCTCAGCGTAAAAGAAATTGCACAGAATGCTCGACAAAACAGATCCTTGGGGAATTCCGGTCTTTTGGCGGTAGAACCGCTTGCCGATCCGAACCATGTTCCGTTCTATATGCTCTCGCAAGAGCTGCATCAAATCGTCCTTTGTTTCGCAGCGGTGCAGATTCGTATTCACAAAGATTGTATTGGACTTTGTCCCTGCGAGTTTCTCTTGCACAAATTGATCAAAAGGCTTGACATCCGTGGCTGCATGGCAGTGTGAAACATATCGTTTGCGAGGTATCGGGTTGACGTAACTTCCATCAAGGCGTTGCAGAGGGCCCAGGGGAGCCATCTCGACGTGTTTGCCAATATGATATGCCTGCGCTGACATAAGACTGTCAACCATGTGTAACAAACGTGCCTGGGGTATCGTATCAAAGCAAGCTTGCACGTCGACCTTGGCGAAATACAATTGTTTGCCAGCAAGACCGCGTTGTTTTAGTGATTCTCTGAAAGCCGTCAACTTGGGGAGCATGTCCCCGACCGAGAACAACGAACTTCCAAGCTTTTCCGGTTGCAGCAACTACGCTGCGTTAAGCTCTGTCAGGCGATTCAGATGGGGTACTCACTTTCTCGTAATTAATGGCATTGAAAGCTGGTGTCATGGCTGAGTTGATACTTCGCCCGAGCGACATGGTCCCATAGCGCAAGACCTGCTGCTTCCGTTTGAGATTCATGATGGTCCGGAATCCTTGTTTTTTTGGGAGCAGACGGATGTTGCTAAAACCGAGCTGATTCCCAGATAGCAGCTTTGTGGCATTCACATTTGGGAGCTCTTCAAACATATTGAGGCGCAGTGTCGTTAGGGCTGGCTCTGACAGCATCCGCCAGACGTCGTGGCGAAAGTAGAACAGTCGGTTGCGGTGGGCGTTTGATTCGGTTACGTGAAAGTTGGTTCGGATCAAAGGGATGAGGAAAGAGTCAAAAAGCCAGTAGACAAACTCGAGGAATATCTCGATCCGCTTGTCCATGTCGGACTTGGAGAGTTTACAGACTGCATCTTGGCTAGGCGGACAAAGCCAAGAAATCGAGGTGATCTGCTGTGCGTCAGGTATATTCAATAGGACGATCCAAAGAGACGGACGTTTATCTTCTGGGTGACTTGGTGCAATGTCAGTGATTCAAATCTCCGCAAAGCTACAAACTGGTCGATCCAATACATGACAACGTGCTTGTTGTGATGGTCACCCCAAAAGGCTTCAGGTATAACGTTGGATATAGTAGCCCGACAAAAGGCCGACACATGTGCTGTGGGACATGCCATGTCCAGGAAACACGTTTGTTGGATTGAGTGAGATTTGGATGTGTGGGCATGACAGTCATCCGTGGTTGCTGGTGAGTCCACTGTGGGTTGAAGCGCGCTTTTCCTCCACTCGGGCCTTGCAGACAACGGTATGCCCTGCGGAGGTCAGTCATTGCTACTGAGAGATTATCAAATGGGAGAGCACCTCAATGGGGCAGTAGTGACGAAGCAGCTCTGTGTACGAACACCGATGATTAAGAATTCGGAGTTTCTCAATCAGTTTTACAACGTCACCTCGAAGTCGCTTGGGCACTCGCAGTTTCCACTTGGCCATCTCATGCACATCGGCGGCCTTGCTACCTAGTTGGCGACACATGCTGCCGTGGATGTCATCCTCGCGCAGGGTATAGTCTTTGAAAGGCATGGTACATTCGCGAGGATTTACCTTGGACGTGAAGACGTTGTGCAAGCCAAACTGACGCGGAAAGATGTAGCGCATGATGTGGACTGTTTGCTGCTTGTCGGTTCGGTCAGGGAAACGGTTCAAGACGTCTGCAAGCCATGTCAGGAGCTGCAATGCGACATATCATTATTGAGAACGCACGTATATGGCGCATGCCGAATCTGACGCCGCCTTTTGCATTGAGGGCGGCTTTGGCATACAGCATGCGACTACGGACGAAAGTAATGGCCCCGGGTGTTCTATTTTCACTTTTCAGGTACATCGACTTGGTGGTTTCTTTTGCGTCTGTGAGGGCTTTTTCTGGGCCACTCTCGACGAGCCCAGCAGGCCGTACTTCAGACACGGGCACGCCTGACAGCTGGTAGTAGTTGCCCACGCTACCCTGGATGGGAAGGAAAATGGCACAGTCTGTTAGCAAGTCGACCATGATGCGATCGCCGCCTGGACCGAGGAGAGCGAGCAGTCGGCACCATACCGGCTCTTTTAGGGTTCGCACGTAGCTATTCACATGGCGTTCCTGCAGACCCGGAATGGAGCATCGGGGGTTGGGGCTGTCAGGGAGCTCGGCGCGGGGCATTCCCGTCTTCTGGAAGCCATGGCAGAGCAGGTGGGCGGACTGGTACGAGTGGGGGCGCCTGAACAAGCGCCATATCACAACATGGACAACCTACGTGCGCTCAGCGGCGAGAAGCGCTCGGCTGGTAACACGACTTACCTCGGACTGGCGGTGGTGCTCGGACGTGGAGGAGATGCGCGGGGTGTCCTGGGAGCGTTGCTGGGTGAAGACGTGAATGTCGTGGTCACGTTGGTGGGCGGCATGGGCCTGCTCTTCCGGAGCCATGCGGGCGGAGCAGGCAACCAGGGCCGAGTCGAGCAGACGGGCAACGGCGCCATCGACGTCGTGGCCTCGGGCGGTGTCTGAAACTGGGGGTGCACGTCCGAGCTGGGATATTGTTCGATGCCTATTCTTGGAGGAGCTGGGTAGCGTCGACAGCAAATGGTGGCGTAGCGTGGTTAGTTGGGGATAGATGCGCTGCAGCACGGGATGGCTGTGATGGGGGGCAGCCATGGCATTGGCAGACAGGTGCCGGGCATGCCTTGGCTTCTTACGCGTCGTCAGGGCGCCGGAGCTGCTGCGCTTCCTCTTGACGGCGGCGCTGCAGCCATGGGCGGGGGCGTCCATGGGAGCGGGAGCGGATGCAGATGGCGGTGGTGGTGCTGCGACGGCGATGGAGCGGTGATGGGAATCGTGGTGGTGCTGGTAGGGGAGTGTTGCGGGCGGCGGCCAAGGCAGCCGTGGCGGTGGTGAAGCTACTCGTACGGGAGCGCTAGAGACGCGACGGCACGCGCCATGGGCCAGGGGATGGGCATGGAGGGGAACGCGGGCAGGCAATCAAAGGCGCCATTCTGCCTCGACTTGCTGTCGCTGTTTCACGCGGGTTGCAGGTAACGAGGCCGGGCGAGCTGGTGGTAGGTGGCATCTGCCATCAGCCATGCTGCCCCTGCATGTGCACCCTAGCTCGAGGCCACTGGCTGGGGAAGCGGAACGGAGCAGCAGCAGAGTGGGCGAGTGGACAGGTCGACGAGTGGACGGGCGGCATGGCGTGCGTGGGAGAGCAGCGACTGGACGGAATGCGAGTGTGCGATAGAGTTGGCCCATTGGAGGGTATTGGAGGGTATTTGGGAGGGGAGGCGGTGGGTGGGTGAGCAGCGACGACGACACCACGACGACGACGATACCTGTGACCTACCTACCTGCCTGCCTGCCTGCCTGCCTGCACATCTACCGCCGCCTTTTGGGACGTCTTCTTGCTCAGCCGTCCGCCTCTCTGCCCGCCTCGTCCCCTCCCCTCCCTCGCCCGTCGCACGCTGTGCCCGTCGTGCTCCATCCCAGGCCTGCACTGCACTGCCGCCGGCGAACAAGATTTCCTCCCCCTCCCCCTGCGGCACCGTTGCTGTCCCGCTTCCTAGCTTCCATCTAAACCAAGTCCAAGTCCAAGTGCGCCGCCGTGTGGGCTGGCTGGGGGGGCCAGACAGCAGGACTAGAGCTGGGTACCTCCTCCTCCTACTGGAGTAGTAGTAGTACGTGCGTACACGCCCTGCTGCACACCATACCGCACACATCCACACTGCACACACACACATTGCATACCCTGCACACACACACATACACGCAAACTCTCTCTCCCCCCTCTTCCTCTCCCTCCCCCCCCAGGCCCTCCCCCCCCGCAAGCGCATTCCCCCCCGTCGGCCGCCGCCTCTTCGCAGCCTGAAACTCTCGACAGCACTGCCCACCCGCGCCATTGGCTGGCTCCCTCCCACCACCACCCGCCGCCCATATCGGATACCCAGACAGACGTCTGAGCTGGCAACCGCTTCCCCCCGACCGTTGGCACTGCCTCGCTCCTGCGCCTCTGCGCCCGCCAGCTATGGGAGATGGAGCCAGACCAAGCGCATGAATATGCCTTCAATCCTGCCCTCTCCGTCTCCACCTGGCTGCAGTCAACCGATCTGGATCATGCCGACGACGCTTCGCCTGAGAAGTACTACTCCGCCTACACGTCGCCCGAGCCCCAAGCTCCTGCCTCACCGCAACACGCCCCCGACATGTCAGTCACGCGCCCTCGACAGCCCACGACCAACGGCAACGGCGCCAAAACCACGCCCAAGCCCGCCGCGAGGTCTGCCTCTGGCCCTGCTGCCTCGACCGCCTCAGCTCCTCGCTCGCCCCCCACCACGTCGACCAAAGTAAAGGCCCTGGCCGAGCGCTTTGAACGCTCGCCCGGCGGCAGCTCGCTCTCTGCATCCCCTCCCGTGCGCTCCAGGTCCCGAGACCCAAGCCGCGCAGCCGCACACGATGCCCACCGGCGAGCCAATGCCTCCATCTCGTCGACGGCCTCAGCTGCGCGCCCAAGCAAAGACGCCTCGTACGGCCCGCACAAGTTCAGCAACCTCAAGCCGCGAGACCGCCCCCAGCCCGCGCCCGCAACCCCTCGCAGCGCGCGCCGCACGAATGGCAGCAAGGGCAGCATAGACCAGCACTTCTCGCCCACAAAGTCGACCGTCGCCTCGCCGAGTCGGGTGTCGGCCTCGAGTGGTGCAAGGCAGCTGTTTGGTGAAGTCATGGCAGGGCAGGATGCCTCGTCGCCTGGATTCGGCATACCCACCGTCGAGAGCACGCTGGGAGAGGCGCCGTTGCTCTCGACGCTGACTCACGACGCACCGCGCGCACCGCCCCAGGAGCAAACGCCGTCGCGATCGCCCACACGACACACTCCGTGTTCGAGAATACCAATCGCAACCCGACGGCGGAGCATTGGCTCAGACTCCAATTCCTCGACGCGGTCCGTCAAGTACACACCAACACGCGCAATGAGCCACAGCAACCGCGCATCGCCCACACGAATGGACAGAGCGCTGGCCGACGCTGGCGCTGCCTCGGTCTCACGTGGTCCAGACCAGTCAACCCTGCCCGCTTTGGCTTACCGTGGATATCGCGAGCGAGGGAAATCCCCTCTGGGTGCAAGGCCTGGACCAAGCGTAGCCGCTGTGGTCACCGCCCCACCTCCTCCAACGTCACCGCGACTGCGCAATTCGCGCGAAAGACAGCCTCTCCAGCCTTCACCTGCCTCGCGTTCGAGAAGCACCGACCCGCACGATGAACACGGCTACTTTCCCATCGCCAGCAGTTTCGACGTGCAGCAGCCTCCCATGCAAATCCAACAAGAACCCTCGGAGGGTCTCCCCGATCTGGCTGAGCTCGAACAGTCATTCGAGGCCCATGCTCTAGCAAAGCGTCCCTCGCAGGACCAAGACTCACTCCCGTCAGACCAGCAGCACCTGACCCTCCAAACCTCGACCTTGACCGTGCCTCCCTCCGACCAACCGCAATCGGCTGTGACGGACTTTGACGAATCACCTGTGCTGGGAATGCCTGGGAATTTTGTCCTCACACCGCCGGCGGCAGACCGGGATCAAGACCACCAGCTCTTACAACCAAGCCTCTTCCATGGTCTTGGCCACGACAGCACGAGTCAAACGCCCGACATTGAGCAATCAGAGCTTGGTGTCCGGGAATCAATACCTATCATGCTGAGCGACGAGCAGTCTACAAAATCCTGGGAGCCCGACACCGACTCCTTCCATGAAGGCCTCAGAGCACTGTCGTATGATTTCAAGTCGGATCGAGGGTACGATGCAAGAGACGGAGCAGCTCCCACGTCTCGTTACGACGCGAACGAGGCTCTAGCAGCAGCGCCATCCTATCCGAGACGGGACACGCTGTATCCTGATGATTCGGCCAGTTGTGCTCCTCACCGAAAGCGCGTCTCACTAACACCAAACACGGAGACGTACAGTGTGGTGAACTCGGTTTTGAACATGTACCACCAGTCGTCAGTCATTTCGCCCGAACTCGCATCCACATCACGCGAAAGAGTCCACCAAGTCTCACCTGTAATCGCACAACACAAGGACTGGGGATCCAAAGAGGCTACCGAGACGTATCTTGCGCGATTGTTGAGTGACGCAAACGGGTCAAAACGCGACGCCGCCAACCATGAGCTCAACAACCCAACATCACCACCACGCCCATCTAGAGACCCCCCAGACCCTCCCCAACAGTCGCCAGAACGTGGCACTGGAGGCACTGCGATCATATACTCTTCCTCGTCACGACGCTACTCGCGAGACTCTGGCAGATCTACCACTACTACCATTCAGGAAGATGCATCGCATTCTGGCAGTTCTTCTGGAAACCGTTCTCGTGACGCACTGTCACGAAGCTCGTCCAGCGAGCGTCCATCAGCCCCTACTAATGGCCTTGAGTTACCACAGCTTGCCTGGACCAATGGCGGACTTGGGTTAGATCTACAACACTCCATGCCGCATTCACCACTACAAAACACACCGCCTCGTCCCAACTATTCGCCCCCACCACCTCCTGTACAGCCATCCATCGATGAACAGATGGCTCTGCAGAACGCTGCATACAGCTCTCTGCCGCATCACGAGCAATTCGAGATGCATCCCTCGCGGTCGCGTACCCCAGTCATCCATGTCCATGAGAGAACCCTGGAAGATCGCTATGGCACCCCACAGCCCGTTGAGGCGTCTGTGCAGTCTCCCTCGGAAGGCGAAAAGGGTGAAGATGGGCAGCCTGACCCGGTCAAACAGGCGCTGATCAAACGATACCGCACGCTCGAAGAGCTGCTCACAACCGAACATCAATTCTGCATCGATATGATGATTGCCCACAACATCTTCGAAGCCACGGCGCAGAATCTGATGAGCGAAAAGGAAAAACGACTGTTGTTTAGTAATTGCAAGGAGCTCGAAAAGTTCTCCTTGTCGCTATTCCGTGCATTCAAGAAGGCTGCAAAGCCAATTGTCAATTACGAAATACCCCCTCCGACCGGTCCCTGGAACCGCGATTCTTCCGAGGGTAGATCGCACGACACCCAGGAACCATCATTGAATGCGCAAAGACCGTCTGAGGACTCTACGAACCAGTTTGAAAACTGTACGCCCGAGAACGATCGCCTGACGACAATTGGCCAAGTATTCCTTGACAACAAGGAGAAGATGGAACGACTCTACACAACGTACTTTTTGAACCAGGACAATGCAAGCGCTTATATCAAGAAAAACCAAGGAAATGAGATTTTGTCCGGATGGGTGACTGCTTGTTTTGAGCAGGTAGAGAATATGACTCAAGCATGGGATCTGGATTCTCTCCTCTTGAAGCCGTGTCAACGTCTGCTAAAGTATCCGCTGATTCTGCAATCCCTGCAGGAGATTACGGACCCTGATCATCCCGATTTGCCCAAGATCAGGGAAGCTTACGAAGAACTGAAGGCAATGAGTCAACGCATTAACCAGGCCAAGGCACGCTCAGATACCTTCCGGGCTGCTGCTTCGGAAGGCAAGAAGGAAAAGAAGAGTGGTCTAGGCAAGACGTTCGTCAAAGCCTTCATCCCCAAGGTGGACAAGAGCAAAGCATATGACGAAGCGGACAAGACTTTCAAAGACCAAGACTACAAATCAAAGGAGCAGAAGTTTGGTGGCCATTTCTTCCAACTCCAGATTGTCATCCGCGACTTTGAGCAATACCTCGAGGCGATTACGGAGCACTATTTGCAACTCAACATTGTATTCTTGGGCTTCATCACGGTCTGCGAAGTCGCGCCATCCGTGTACCCTGAGATTGAGAGCACGTGGCGGAAGTGGGCAATGGCTCATTTTGAGCTGCAGAACAAGGCGCTGGAAGAGCATGTAAGTGACCAAAGATGCCGTTGTCGGCGCAATACTGATCATGTACCAGAAAGCTGCTGTTCGGAGCCGCGTGCTGAAGCCTGTCGGAGATCTCTGGGAGATGTGGGTGTCGTATCAGAAGACGATAGAGCAGCGCAAGAAGTATCTGTTGTACTACGTCAAACACAAGCAAGCACTGGATCGTGGCGAGAAAGTAGATCCGGATCTAGAAGAGTCGGCGAACAAGTTTTCGACGATCAACGACACACTCAAGCACGAGCTGCCTTTGCTCTACGAACGAACCAAGGGCCTCATGCGCACGCTCATGACATTGTTCATGTGCTTGCAAAAGGACTGGTACAAGACGTGCTCGAAAAAGATACTCCCACTGCTCGAAAGCGAACCGCAACACACGACGTCACTTCGGTACGACCTCGAATCCTATGTCGAGCGCTTCCATTCAGACTACAAGCCGATGCAAGAGCTCGCCAACAAACTTGGCATTGTCAACCGCAATCTCCTTATCGACATCTCCAACATGACTTCGCCCGTTCCCACATTCTCATCTGATGGCGGCGCCTCTTCCCGCAACTCGTCTTCCCGTCGCACTGAATCCGTAGGCAGTGAAGCATCCATGATGGAATCACGGAATCGGAATAGCGGCGGCTATGCACCACGATCACATCCACGGAGCCTTGACAACCCTCCCCGGTCCTCACCTGCAGGTCCTGCCTATCCCACACTGTACCCGCCCAACCCAGCAGGACGGGCAGGCCCTGGACCTACGTCGTTGCGCGAGGGACGAGCGCTTAGCCCTGCCTCGGACAACAGCGACGCCACTGTTATGCACAGAGAGCGTCGTAATACCGGTCCTTCTCGAAACAACCACAACTACATGGGCCTTGATGGTGCTGTTGATGTTGAGAATTCACCTTCGGGATCCCATGCGTTTGATTTCCCGCCTCAACTAGGGCCTTCATTCCTCGCAGCATCGCAGCCAATGATGCATACAATTTCAGCACCCCCTTCGCAACCAGCATCCATCACAGGCTCGACACGCGCATCTGGAGTCTTCAACTCTGCCCTACCAATGTCAGATTCACCTGCCCGAGGCAGCGTCGAAGAACTACCCACTACTCCTGCCGAAACCGAAGAGCCCGAGGTACTCTTCCTGGCTGCCAGTCTGTTCGAATTCAACATTGCCCACGATCGCCGTGAAGGCGGCATACCGTACCTGGTTTATGTCCCGGGCGAGATTTTCGACGTCATTGGCATGAAGGGAGAGCTTTGGCTGGCTCGTAACCAAGACGATGCTACCAAGACTGTGGGATGGATATGGGAAAAGCATTTTGCTCGCATTTTACCTGAAGATGCCTAGTCGCTCTTCTTCTTTCCAACATTGACACACTGTTTCTTGCTTTGGGGGTTCACACAGGTATTTTCGTTATAGGCGACCATTGGCTCGCCGGACTTGGCGTCAGCCTTGTTTTCTTTTCCAGCCTTGTCTTTGTGTGGGCCATCTCGCGCTCTCCCTCCTCCTCCTCATCCTTCTGTCTTCTGTCTTCTGTCCTCTTCTTCCTGCCTTCCTTCATTGATGCTTCGGTGCTCTCTTATGTGATTCCCCACCTTCTTCTGGTTTCTGTATCACCCTTTTTTTCCCTTTCTCTTCTCTTCCACAAAACAACCCTCAAAGTTCTTTTTCTTTTTTTTATACTACTTACTTACTTACTTCGACACGCAACGGAAGGATTCTTAGGGCCGGCGTACTGGGAGGGAGGGAGGGAGAGAGAGAAAGGGAAAGAGAGAGAAAAATTTTCTTCTTTTTTTTTGTGTGCGTGCTTGTGTGTGTATCTGTGTGTGTGTGTGCCTTGCTCTCTCTTACTCCCTTCTCTTCTCTTCTCTTCTCTTCCAAATATCTTTCAATCCATCAAAGGCTTAATGGCAACGCATTTTCAACTGGCGTCTTTTTTCTTTTCCACAAGGCTCTTTAGGGTTCTCAAAGGGGAGTTCTACTTTACCTGTTTTTCTTTTTCTTTTTCTTCTTCTTCTTCTTCTTTTTCTCTTATTGTCTTTGACAGAACCCAAACAGGATAAAAATAACTTTTTCCTTTTTCTCATTTTCAAACATCTCTCCTCCTCCTCCTCTACCTTCGCCTTTGACTTCACTTGACTCAACTGGCCTTGAATTTTTTTTTCTGGGGGGGGGGTTTAACACAAACTTTGCATGTATGTATTTATGAGAAAAGATGATGGATTCGCGAGACTTATTTTATCCCCTCTTCTTTTACTTTTTTTTTGATTTTTTTTACTTATCATCATTGTCTTCCTGCTTGTCCTTGTCCTTGTCCTTGTCCTGCTTGCCATCGTCTTCTGTCGTCGTCGTCGTTGTCGTCATCGTTCTTCATCGACTTCATTCCTCGCCACATACACTTTTTGCTTCTAAACTCTCCAACTCAACACGTGAGATTTTCTCGTTTCCATTACTTAGACTCTAGGCGGCGTGATTGCATATTTTCTATTGTCTTATGGTCATGTGGTGTTCCTTTTGGGGGTAAGGTTCCGAGAGGAGGAGGAGGAGGGACAGGAGTGCAAGAAAGGAATGAAGGGGGAGCCGGGGGGGGGAGCATTCTAGAGCATCGTAACATAACATAAGATGAGATTAGGCAAGATAAGATGACATGAGAGATATTTAGTTTCAAACTTTTTTGGTTTCGCATGTATACGGGCAAGTGTAGGAACATGGATTATCACGACTATGAATTGGAGGAGGAGGAGAAGGAGGCTTATGATATACATTTTCTATCCAGGCTTTGGCTTTAGGGGCTTCTCAGAAAATGCGGAGATTTTATTTATTTATATCTCTGGAGCGTGGGTTTTCTTTCTTTCTCTACATGTCTTGGAGTATTGGTGTTTGTATGTGAGACTGAGAAAAAAGAGAAAAAAAAGAGTAAAGGAGCTGTACTCGATACAGGATTTAAGAATTCATCAATTCTTACCACTTACTCTTCCATTTCCGATCCGCTCTCATCATCTTCTTCGCTTCCAGACATATCCTCGTCGTCGTCATCCTCATCCTCATCACCTTCAAGACCATATGCATCTTGAAAGTCTGTGAGCTGCTTGAGTTGGATTTTGAATCCCGCATTTTCAAAATCTTTCTTCAGACCCTGGAGAAGAAGAAAAATTAGTCAACTTGTTTACTCAATGTGATGGTGGGGGAGGGGGGACTCACATCAGTCATGATGCCACCACATGTAACGACGAGATCCGTCTCCTCGGGCTCGAACACGTTGGCCACGACATCCCTTAGGATTCTCTGTACATCCTCCTGCATCACCTTACGCACTTCACGCAGCGCCCAATCTTGCCAGTCCTTGCCGACGCCCCTGGTGACGAGATCGATATACGAGCTGCGCGCAGCATCCACGATTGTGGCGCGCTCATCGACAAAGTCGCGCACGATACTCGAGATGGCGCCTTCGAGCTCGAGCTTATCGAACGTTTGCGTGCCGTCGCCGTACTCGCGGACGACGGTCCGGGCTTTGTTGTATGCCGCGAACACGTTTGGCGACTTTGAGATGCGGAATTTGAGGAGCCCTGTTTCCGGGTCCCGGAAGAAGTTGCTGCCGTAGGCGAGTCCAGTGCCGCGGATCGATTGCCACATGGGGCCTTCGACTGCGTCGAGGTATGCGAGTGCGACCATGAGAGGGGGGAGTTGGGCGTTGTTGTAGCCCTTTGGTCCCTTGGATGTCAGGACGGCGAAAGACGAGTCGATAGGCATGGGGATGATGTAGTGGGTACCGCCTGGGTTGCGTCCGACGTCGGAGAGAAGGACGTTTCTGTCGTCAATTGGGTTGATGTCTGGTTCTGCACCTGGCTTGAATGCATCGGTGAGGTGCTTGAATGTCGAGACTGGGTTTGGTAGAGTCTCGAGGTTGGCGGTTACGAGAACACGCATGTTAGAAAATGTCAGTAGGTGCTTACGTAGAGCTTCGAGCTTGTCGAGAACCTGTTGTGGCTCCGTCTTGAGCAACTTTAAGATACGCTTGAGGTATAGACCCTTGACAAGCGTTCCAGTTGCGCGGACAGCTGAGGCAGCATCGTAGTGGATCATGCGATCGACTGCAAAGCTCATGGAATTGCCGTCGCGCTTCTCCTCAGGTACATCAGCCAGCATCTTCTTTACAGCAGAGATGACACGTTCGGTATCGAAGATTGAGTCCACCAACATCGACCTCAGCCACAGCACAACCGTTTCGAACTTGTCGGCTTCCGCAACGAAAGGAATGTAAATCATCTCGGAGCTTCCAATATCTGTACCACGGTCCATCGAGTACTCAATCGTATCCTGCTCGAGCTTGGTAATGACTTCCTCGAATTCGATGCGCTTGCCATCTTTCATGATGGGGGTGGCAAAGAAGTTGGTTAGGTAGACGCCAAGCAAAGGCTTCAGTTCGGTTGGTAGAGTAGCCGTACCTAACACCAATCCAAAGTGTACAAACGAGGTTGGTATGTGCTCAAAATGGATGAACAGAGGAAGGCCATTTTCGTCCTTGTCAACAATTTTCTGAATCGAATTTTCTGGGACACCGAGCTTCTTTGCCAGTCCAGATCGCGCGGTAGTGGTTTCGAAGAAGTGAATCGACTCGGTGCTCGGAACCTTTACACCTGCAATAATGTCCTCTGGAATAGGCCTGTCGTTCTGTTCCTGCGCTTCCTTGAGCTTCTGTGTCAGACGCTTTAAGCCATCATCACCTAGCTTCTCCTGCTGTGCCTTGACACGAGCAATCTCATCTGATTTGATCTTTTCTGAAAGAGCTTTGGAGGGTTTGCCAAGGATCGAGACATGGTGAGCATCGATCATCCACTTCTTCAAGTAGGCTCGCCACTCCTCCTCTGTCCACTTGTCAAGAGTATCAAAGACATCGAGAGTAGCCATGGCATCTTCGAGGTGGACGCCCTTGCGGTCGCCAAAGACATGGTCCTTGATGATTGGGTCTTTGTATTCGTCAAGACCAATCTCCGACATGTACCGCGTTTGACGTTTGAAGCGGTGAAGGCAGTCTTTCAAATAACTCATATCAAGCGGTTTAGAGGCATGTTCCTCGAGGACTTGAAAGAAACGCTTCTCGGCCTCGGCAAGCTTGTCAGTCTCCACTGATGAGAGAGTCCACCATATAATCATATCGTAGTGGCCTTTGCACCAAAAGTAAACCATGCTAGCCAGATGCTCCTTTTCGACAAGCGTATTGACAAGGACTGATACCGAGGATCCAGCCAGATAGTTGAGCAGGGTATTTATGGCCGTCTCTCCAAGGTCGTCCGTAGTCTCTGGGCCCAAGAAGGCGATCTGGACCTCTCCCATCGACTCGTCCTCTTCCGGGAATTCTACCGTGTCAACTATGGTTTTGCTTAGTGCAGGAGTACGCGGAGACTCCACCCATGGGCGCTTGAACGGCGCATCGTAAGCCGGCACACGGTCGATGATGTCGTCTTCGAAAGCATCCAAAACTTGCAAGAGGTTGGGGTGGTCAACCTCTCCAATGATGATGACTCGCAAGTTTTTGGGCTGGTACATGTCTCGATGAAACTGACGGATGCGCTCTGCGGTCGAAACTCGTAGATTTTCCATCAAGCCACCAGTCTCCATACGGAAACCATCCCCTTCAGGATAGAGAAGGCGACGCATTTGAAGATCCATTAGATCACCTTGCAAGTTCTGTCGTCCTTGCATCTCAGAATAGACAACTCTTTGGAGTGTTAGTATTTCGTACTCAAGTCACAACGGCTGCTTACCCTGCATCTTCGCCTTTTCCATCAATGTGGTGAACTTCAGTATAACAGGCAGCATCTGTGAGCGTAGGAACAATAAGATGGTCGAGGTAGATTGGTAGCAGCTGTGCAAAGCCTTCCCAGCCTGCAGTGGAGAGTATGTATACTGTCTCCGAAACATCTGTCCACGCATTGGTGTCCGAGTATGATCGGGTAGCAATCTTGTCCAGTACACCCTTGAAGGGGTACTTTCGTGAGCCCATGAAGCAGAGATGTTCGAGTGTGTGTGCTGGGCCAGGTTAGGACATGTATAAAGCTGACTTGGGTATACCCACGTGAGCCGGAATCATCATGAATCTCTGTAGCTACTGCAAAGTTTCCGTAAACCTTTGGGCCCTTCCGATCGACCACAACCACACGCAGCCCCGTGCGCTGAGACTCATACTGAGTAAAAGTGGCGTCGGCATAATTTGCTTTGAATTGCTGGATCTTCTTAAAATGCGTCTCGAGCTGTACAGACCCCATGGTGCCGACTTGGAGAAACAGGAATGGCGGTTCAGTAAGGTAGTCGCAATACTGATGTTCGATGCCTGGGTCACTGACACAGACCGCCTTATCCGAATTGGTACTACCATTGTTTGTTAGTCGATGCCATGCAGCATGCTCTTGGTATTCGCATAATGTCCGGCTGCGGGGAACCACATCCTTAACAAGCGAGCATGAAGATAGGGCATGTTGCACCAGGCATTGGGAGGAAAGCGGTGTGGGCTTACGGCTTGAAGAGGGATATTGCACGCAAAAGAATGCAGCTCCAGAAAAGTGCGCGTGGGATGGTGGCAACAAGGCCCAGAAGCGAGTCTTTGCGGGTGTAGAGATGGTAGGAAGCCGCTGGAGAGAGGCTGCCACTGAGAGAAAGGGGAAGACTGGCAAAGGACGGGGAGTATAGTTGGTTGCCTACAGCAGCTGGTCTCGAGGCGGCACGTGTTCAAGGCCGTACAGAGAGTGATAATCTTATCGGCCGTGGCGGGGTAAGTGTGGCGGGGCAGCGACACTAGGGCCAGGCTTGACGTCGCCTGGACGTCCGTGCAACTTCAATGTTCATGTTGGCCAGGGTCTGGAGACGCTGCGGCTGCTCCACGACTTGACACGTCTCACGCCCTCTTTTCCTATCGGCATGACCGTCGCCTGCTAACCCCAAATGCCTTTGCCAGTGTCCGACGAGCAGCTGGGCGATGCGCTTCTTCAATCGGCCCAGCATGGCGCGTTCCCCCAAGACGAACAAGTGGCTTCTGCCCCCGTGCCATCCAGCGCGCTTCCCAAGATACTAGAGGTCGTGGAAAAAGCCAGAGAGGACACCAGAGTATGCGAAGACACCGCCTCTCCTGTGGCACCGGCATTGACTGTTTGTCCCAGAACGAAGTCCGCGCGCTCTCTCGAGAAGCCGCATCCGACGTCGACGGCTGGATTGCACAGGCGCGCAAGCTGCAGCATGATATCAAGCGCTCACAAGATACGGCCAAGGAGATTGTGCAGCAGGCAGAAGCAGGCAAGGAGATCACAGCACGCGTGCAGGATGCTGCAGGCAAGGTTAGCCTACTGCACACCGAAATTGCCTACAATGAGAGCCTGGCACAGGCTGTGGAGCAGCTGCGAGACATTTCCACACTGCTAGATTCGGCTCAAAACGCAGCTGTAAATGGCCATGTCCTGCACGCCATCGGCACCCTTGAAGACGCAGATGGCGCCTTCACAAGGCTCGGTCCTTTTGCGACTACGAGAGTAGTGGGTGTGCTCAGGAACAAGCAAGAGCAGCTGAAAAAAGCCATTGTAGAGACTGTGACAGACTCGTGGCATGGCCTGATATCAGTTGACAGCACTAATCACAAAATCTCACTGCACCAGTCAATCGAACGAGAAGCCAAAGTCGATATCGATACAACCGTTGAAGCCCTTACAAAGCTGGGCCTGCTTGACAACCTCATCAATCGCCTGAGTCGCGATCTCGACAGAATCATAATCTCCCCCCGTCTTGCCATGGGCACCGACCGCGTTGTGTCCGCATTCAAAATTGAACGAGACGACATACAACGCGCAGGCCCAGTAAACGATGGACGTGTCAAAGCTACGTTGGAAGATATTCATTTGATCGCCGAGTACCTGAGCACACGCTTGCCGCCCAGTATTGCAATTCCGCTATCACACAAGATTGTCCCGATTATCGCGTCCCGTCTGATTCACAACCAACTCTTGCCTGCTGTACCACTTTCGACAGAGGGGATCCCGCAATTCCAAGAATCGCTTTCATACATATTAGGTCTTGTGGAATATCTAGATGAGCTTGAATGGTCTGGTCAGAGCCGCCTGACAGAGTGGGTCGATAAGTCTGCCGAAATATGGCTGGCCAAGCAGAAAGAGGCTGCCATTGCCAAGGTTCAATCCATGTTTCCAAAGAAGGTGCTCGAGAAGAAGACTGTGGAGAGGGTCGAGACGGAGATGGTATCAAAAGGGGACGCACTACATGATGGCGACGACCAAGGGGATGATTGGACTGCAGACTGGGACGAGGAAGACGAGTCTACCAAAGAGACAGAGACAAAGGCGCAAAAAGAGATGGTAGAAGAGGAGGACCTGAGCGCATGGGGCGATGAGGTCGGTTTGGGCGACGAGGAACAAAAGGAAGAGAAAAAAGAGGACAAGTCAACCGATGCTGAAGACGCTGAAGATTGGGGTGCTGATTGGGATGAGGAAACAGAGACTAAGCAAGCTGTCCCGCCGAATGACACCGCCAAATCACCAAAATCACCGAGTAAAAATGGGACACCGGCACAGCAGAAAGCGCCCACACAGCAGGAGGTGACACTGCGCGAAACATATACTGTTACGGCAATCCCAGATGCAATCATGGACATCATTTTGCAGGTTCTCGGAGATGTAGAGACACTCAACTCGGCCGATCTTGTCAAATCAGCCATTGCCCCTGCCAGCGGAGGCCTGTATGCCATCCCAAGTCTTTTGCTCGCAATGTATCGAGCCACTGCTCCTATGCATTACTCCAAGGATATTGCGGGCAACATGCTCATCTACAATGACTGCCAACGTCTATCCGATCGATTGCGGCTGTTCATACAAGAACAAACGGAAAAGGACATATCGTCTACATTGCCGCATCATCTCCAACCTTCTAAGCGCCTGAAACCGTTGCTTGAAGCCGATATCAAAACTATAGATGGATTCGGCAAGCGTGCGTATGGGCGTGAGATGGAGTCGCAGAGACAGATAATAAGGGATCACCTGGAGGGTGCACAAGGTTTCCAAGACTGTACCAACGTCCCTTTCGCCACGGTCTGTGACGATGCCATCGCCACCACCATCGATAGGATAGGAGATGTGAAGCGACAATGGCAAAACGTCCTTTCACACAGCGCTCTACTCCAGTCGCTCGGTTCCTTGGTGTCGGCGGCACTGACAAAGTTTATCAATGACGTTGAGGACAAATCAGACATTGCAGAGGATGAGTCTCGAAAGCTACACGGGTACTGTGTTTCGCTCTCCACATTGGCTCAGCACTTCCAGACTCCGGATGACAATGGAGAGGTGAGGGATATGGCTGGTATCTATTCACCAAACTGGTTCAAGTTCCAGTACCTCAGTGAAATTCTGGACAGCAGCCTTGCGGACATCAAGTACTTCTGGACGGATGGAGAACTGAAGCTGGAAATGCAGGCTGAAGAGGTGATTGGCTTGATTGAAGCATTGTTTGCGCCTAGCGATCATCGGAGGAGAGCTATTGCAGAGATTAGAAGGACCAGTATGCAATGAAGAACGCCAGCCAACTACAGCGCTGTATCCGAATATCTACTATGAAAATATTTCTCGAATGATTGTCTAAAAACATAATCTGCATCGCACTGATGGACCCATCAACAAGTTCAAGAATACCCAGATGGCCGGAGGTTTGCGAACGCCGACTGGCTGGTGTCCCCGCGCTAACCTCTTTCGATAAAAGTTCGAGATCCCAAAATTTCCAAAGCTTGGAGAATCCATCGTCCTGCAACAACTTTGGCAACAAAACCAACACATACCGACGCCATGGATACCGACACAGCAGAGACCAAGGTGCAGATTCGCCTCACTACGCGCGACCCTGGTCTGCAGATTTCGGACGAGCCCAGTACTTTGCTTGTTCAGACATGTAAGTACCGCCGCGAGATGGCATGCGCTGTACGCTCTTGTATCGCAGTATACGGCAGGGCTCTGCTATTCAAATGCGGTCGCGACATGCTGCTCAGGGCTCACCTGGTCATTCTGCGCATTGTGCTAACAGAATGCGCCTCTAGCTTTAACGCGCCACAAGCTCTCAACACTGGTAAATGAGCTGCTACACCGTGGAGACGAGAACCGCATTCCGTTCGACATCCTTATCAATGGCGAATTCCTGCGCACAACCATTGACCAGTTTCTTACAAAGAACGGTATCAATGCCGAGGCGACGCTCGATGTCGAGTACACGAGGGCGCTGGTGCCACCACTGAATGTTACCAGCTTTGAACACGACGACTGGGTTTCTGCGGTTGATGTCCTGTCGGGAGTGCAAAGTGGGCAAGAGAGGATATTAAGTGCAAGTTATGACGGGCTGTTGAGAGTGTGGAACACTTCGGGAGATGTTTTGGCGACATCCGAAGCCCCGAACAACGGAGGTCGCATCACCAGCTTGAAGACGGCCAAGTGGTTGTCTGAGAAGAAAATGGTGGCCGCTGGTCTGGACAACACTGTGCGTGTGTACAGGTATGACGACGATACGCGAACCATCACAACCGCCTTGGAGCTCTTCAACCATCGCTGGGGCGTAGAAGACGTTGCGGTTCACGCGCCTTCAAACCGCATCCTTTCTGCATCTTCAGACACAACCATCTCGCTCTTCTCAAGCAACGCAAAGGAAAACCCCGTTGCGCCATCAAACCTACTTCCAGACTCGACCGTCGCCTCGAACAAGCGACAAAAGCTCTCGAAACCAGATCGCACAGTGCCTGCTCGAGGCGCATTGGCTACCTTCACCGGCCACACGTCGCCAGTCTCCAGCGTCATCTTCAAGCCCGACGACGCCACCGTCGCATACTCTGCCTCGCACGACCACACGCTCAAGACTTGGGATCTCCCCACATCGACATGCGTCGACACGCGAACCACAGGCCACTCCCTCCTCTCTCTATGCGCCGTCCCCTCGCGGAATCTCCTGGCAACCGGCACATCAGCGCGCCACATCACTCTGGTCGACCCGCGCGCGTCCGCCACGCAAATCAGCGTCATGACGCTGCGCGGCCACAAGAACGGCGTGGTATCCCTCGCCACGGACCCCTCGTCCGAACACAACCTCGTGTCTGCCTCGCACGACGGCACCCTCCAGATATGGGATCTCAGAAACGTCACGGCTGCCGGCCATGTTGGCGAGGGCTTGACCGGCGAAAGCGTATACACCATCTACCGCCACTCGCGCGACGGCGACGCCACAAAGAGCCATGGTGACGGCGCAAAGGTGTTTAGCGTCTGCTGGGACCGTACCGTCGGAATCGTGTCTGGTGGCGAGGACAAGCGCGTGCAGATTAACCGTGCTATTGGCTCATGAGCGTAAAGGTAACCACATAGCAGTAGTAGTAGTAGTAGCAGTGATGGTGGTGTTCAAGGCGCATGTTTTCAGATACCAGATTGGGTCAGGCAACCAAAAAAGGAATCGAGATGAAGTTATAGTTTTCAAAGCTTTTGTTCTGAATTCATGGTGAGCATCTTGAGTCTTTTTGTCAATGCAGGGCAATATATAATGCCTTTTTTGTGTGTGTCAGACTATGTATTCTTTGTACGCTTGGAATGAAAAGGGGTTGGGGTTGGGGTTGGGGTTATGGGGTATCAAAATCGCCAATGTCTAGTTCTTATTTTTTTTCCCCATCCGTTTCATTCTCTCTCTCTCTCCCTCATTTTTCCGCGGGTCGGCTGAGAAAGTCCACCGACATGTGGACGTAGTGGCAGAAGTGCTGTATGCGGATGCGTCGCCCATTTCGCCCCGTAACTGCATTGCCCTCTGTATGCGCCTCGAAAACCACCTCATCTCATGACAGACGTCGCAGACTCGACTGCTAGTCTCTTTTCCCCCGCGCATTCCCCCATCTTTTCAAGCCCCACAGTAACAAACATGCTCCTCTCTTTCTCTCTCTCTCTCTTAATTCCCCACACACATATGCTCCTTACACCTTACACCAAATGCCCCGGCAGCAAGAAATTCGCCACACCTTCTTTAACCGCATACTCATGCTCACACGCACCACACACCAATTTCCCCTCTTTTATGCACGTTTCAAGCAGCACTCTATGCAGATCCTTTGCCGTCTGGCTCGGCTCTTCTTCCTCTTCCTCTTGTTGTTCTGCACCCGCTGGCGCCGAATCCGGTGTATCTAGAGCTGAAGCCGAGGTAGACGACGGTTCAACGAGATCCGCAGGCGTAGGCGCTGTGGGCGGGAGAGCAGGGAGACCGAGCTATTCGCGATATATATATCCGTTAGAAAATCTTTTCTTCTTTTCCCCCTGGTGCATTGAAAATGAAGTTCAGAGTAATAACCATACCTCACTGCAAATGCCCCGCAACTCCTCCCACAAGATCCGCGGCAAGATGTTTTTCAGAAACGCCAGATTGACCTCCGTCTCAACGATTTCGAGTTCTGCGTCGCGTGGGTGCAGCGGGAAGGAGGCGGGGTTTGTTTTGCACGTTTTGATGGCGCAGGTGAGGAAGTTGAGGGTGAGGAGTTTCATTTTCTTTTTTTTCCTTCTCTATGCGTCTTCTGTTTTTTTTGGGGGGGGGGGAGTGCGAAGGTGTACGAGGGAAAGATGGGTTCGCGGAGTTCTGGAGTGGAGCGCGAGCGGTCGCAAGAGCGTGGTGATGGATCGATTCGGGTGTATCCGTGTGTAAGTATGTGCGTCGGCGTGGAAAAAGCGTACTTAGGTAGGGCGTGGATTTATTGCGCTAAGTACTATTGCTGTTGCTTCCCGTGTCAACCTACGTAGCAGTAGTAGTCGTAGTAGGTGGTAAGGAAACCGCAGTCAGCGGGGTCCAAAACTTCCCACTCAACAAAATAATTTTTGGCGCGCGCCGTCGGCGTTCGGCGTCGGCGAAAGCGGACTTTGCGTGGATGTGAGCATGAGTGGGGGGGGGGTCTTGAAATGAAACCCCCCCCCTCCTCAAAGAAAAAAAAAACGCTAATGCGAGAGTCTAAATTTATGCTTATTTCCTTACAAATGTATGCTTGTAATTAATAAAACTATATTTATTCGCATTGCTTAGAGTCTAATACGAGATATTACCGGTTTCTTTTCAAAGTTTATCTGGGTTTTTACTTGGGTCTGGGGGTTTAAGTAGAGACACTACTACTTATACGAGTGTTAAGTAAGCTGAGGTTGTGCGCTTCGTCCACTGAGTGAGGATTAATCCTGGAGTTTTTTTTATTTTATTTTTATTTTGGGAAGAATGACTCGTAGCATTCGACGTTACCTCACGGCTTGTATGCTGGAACGATTGAAAGTCTGATGGCGATGGAAATGAGTGTGTTTTTTCAATTTACGATGCTGAGAATACCATACTGGTGCAACATCTGATACACATCACCACGATACCCAATGCCAACACATACAGTCTTCCAGTTTTTATACAGGGCTACCATTTCCCCGCATCCTCCAGCACCAGGTCTGACGCGCGCGCACTCAGCAGGAATGTAGAAACCGACGGGAACGCGCCGGGACATCTTGGAAATGCACTTGCATCGACGACACGCAGGCCCTGGACGCCTCTGACCCTGAGCCTGGAGTCCAAGACGGCCATGGGATCAGCGTCGGGCCCGACTTTGTTGGTGCTGGTGGGATGGTGGCCAAAAGCTTGGTCTTCAATCCAGTTGCGGTCAATGTCCATGTCGCGGCAGTATCCCGTGTCGAGGATATCCGAGGGCGGGCACGGCGGCGACACAGGAGTCACGGGGTCGGTGGGACCCTCGGTGGAGTTGAAAGTCTTGCGGACAAAGGCTAGGGCCGCGAGGATGGCGCCCATATCGGTGTCTTTGCCGGTAACGAAATGGTTGAAGTTGACGTCTGGCACGTCTCTGGGGTCTGCAGATTGGATCTGGATGTATCCCGCCGTGTTCTGGGGATGGATCTTGACCGTGGACCAGGAAAAGGTCGATGCCGGGAGTCGGGTCCTGTTTTGACTCGTCGCAGGCGCGAAACCGTTAAAGGCACCGCCAGTGTTGGCGAAAAGGAACATGTCTCGCTCGTCGTCGACTGCGTGCGGCGTTTTGAGCAGGAGGGAATTGGAGTTTGAAACTCCACGCGCGTAGGGCCCCTCGCCCTTGTGCCAAAGATCAATGCATGGGTCTCCAGGTGCGCCGAATGTGCACACTGGCGCGTTGGGATCCACCGGAGTCGTGAAATTGACTTTGGCATTGCCGTACATGGGTATCTCGTAGTTGTCCTGGAGGTTGCGGCCTACACCTGGTAGATCGGCGACGACTGGAATGTCGTACTTTTCAAGCAGGGCTTTTGGCCCGATACCAGAGAGCTGGAGAATCTGGGGCGAGTTGAATGTACCGCCGGCGACAATGACTTCTTTGAGAGCAAAAGCCATCTTCTTGGTGCCTGTTTTGGTGGTACCGTTCAGTCGTGGATCCGCCTTGTACACAGACTTGCCTTCAAGATACTCGACACCCACTGCTCGCGGCTTGGTAGTTTTACCACTGCAGGTATCGAAAAGAACCTTGGTAACCAGGGACTCGAGCTGGAGGTGGAGCGGATACTTGGGTGTGCCGTTCGCATTCGTCTCATTGCGCGTCTGCAGAATGTAGTCGCGCGGACTAAAGCGTTTCCAGTTCGATATGACATGAAAAGGCAAAGACCACAATGACTCTGTACGATCACGGTTTGGGTCGAGATAGTTCGGGTCGCTCATGAGATAATCCAGCACCTTCTCTGGATCTTTACCAAGGAGCTTCAAAGCCGCCTGGAAAATACTCAGGCGAAGCGAAGCACCTACCTGGGTAGCACGGTCGGCTATGTTTGTTTGTAGCCAGCCAGTGAAACCATGACCTGGAGTGCCTGGTTTGAGGTAGTTGTTATGCTCAATCTTCTCAAAGTACTCACGCATGAGTTCGGCACTAATGCAGTCAGCATAACGCACTGAACCGTACCGGTTTCAACAACACTAACCTCCAGAGCCTTTCTTCGGTTCCTTGGTCAAAGATGTCCCAGTCACTGTCGCTAGGCAAGTACGTCGCTGCTGCATTGATAATAGCACTTCCACCAAGCGTCGCACCGCGGGGGTAGAAGACCCCCAGTCTCTCGGCACCGACATATCCGTCGACACTGGGGTCTTTTCCAACCCAGTCTTTCGATAGGTAAGCATGACTCTACATAAAGTTTGACCAGGCGCTACGTACACTCTCCGTTTGGTAGTCTCCAAACCAACAGATTATACCTCTTCAGCCTCTCCTCGTCATCGCTGTGTCTGACAAAGAAATGCCATGCAACGTTTGGATTTCCAAAGTTGTTGAGAGCAAGGATTTGGGTGCGAATGTCAAAAGTAGCATCGGAACCTGCTTCTATCAAGAGAACCGAATGACCTGCACGCGCGAGATTGGTAGCAATTGTACCGCCCCCTGGACCGGAGCCAGTGACAATGTAATCATACGTGTCTGAGGAGTTTGCTGAGTTCTGGAGCGGTGTGCATGATGGGCTCGAAGCGGCGAGAACGACCGTGGGCAAGAGAAGGTGAAGGGCGTCGTAAATCTTCATGATGCGAAGTAGACGAATAGTAGAAGCAGAGAATTCACCCCGAGGTGGACGTACATAAGCAAGAAGCAAATTTCCCGGCTGTTCTTGAAGGCTGTATTAAAGCCCGAGCAACACACCGATCCCCACTTTTCCCCGCCAGGGTGAATTCGTATCTCTGGATACCTGATAGATTGCCAAGCCGTTATTCAACCTGAGCCGAGCACCCCTGTGTTGCACAAGCGTTCTGAGAAATTCACAGATCAATCATACAAGAGCGTCATTGGCGGGACATGTGAATGGGATGCAGTTGCTCAATCTATCCCGCCCTCAACTCCTGCACAGCGCCGGTATCATGGCGCCGACCAGCTTCCTGAACTCTTGGGAGATGCGCGTTGGGGCAACACAGATTGTGGGGATGCTGGTACAAGTAAGCAAGTACTGTATTTTAGAAAAGCGGGCAAGCGAGTAGGGATATGGAGACATTATTGCTTATGACCAGGATCCATGCACAGCGCACTGACCTGACAGAGATAATACAGACCACATGCAGGTCTTTGGTTTGATCGATCTTGCCAATGAAGCGAACACGTGCGGATCGGATGCTGGATAATAAACGAGTCAATGCCGGCAAATGACTGCTGATTTTGCAAAGGCTTCATTCATAGTGCGCCGACTGACGATGTCGCGCTGCCAAAATGGTATCATTTTTTCTTTCTGTTTGACACGACATACTGTTCCTCAAGAGACATTGTCTATGACGCAACGAGAAAACAGCAAGTTTACAAACATGCCCGATTACTGAAAGCTCTTCAACAGCTCCTGTAGCTGTGCATAAGTATCGTCTGGATTCTTAACCTTGTGTCCAATGGTCCGCTGGTCGCTGTAAATCTCCCAGTCGTTTCCACCCTCGTAGGCCTTGTCGCCGAAGAAATGAATCTTGTCGTAGGTAATGCCTGAGATTTCCTTCTCAGCCTCAATGTGTCGCAAGCAGTACGTCTTGTCCCAGCCGGTAGGGAAGACGTCGAATGAGATTTGACCGCCAATAGAGTAGGTGAGGCCATAGTCGGGGAAGGTCTCCTTGAGCTTTGCGACCATGGTCTCCCTGATCTTGTGCTCGAGGTCGTACTTTTGGTACTCGTTTCGCTCTTCGGTGGATGCGTTACGGCCGATGGGTGAGACGTTGATCATGCCGTTACGGAATTCGATAAAGGTACCGCGCTTGATGGGGATATCGAGATCGGCAATGTAGTGAAGAATCCTGCGAGCTTCAGCCGGCAGCACTTGACAAGCTGTGGGGCTTGACCTACCAACTCGACAGCTTCTTGTACTTTTCCTCGCCAATCCAGGCAATGAAGCTCTGGCTAGCCAACACCTCACCCATGCGGATGGCGGTAAGTCCGTTCTCGGCGAAGCAGAAGTCGAACAGCGAGGTGACATCCACGGGCCCGCCCAGCTGTTCTTGCTGTTTGACGAGGTTGGAGCCGCCGACGAAGCCAATGGCGCATTTGTGGCGGAGTTCTGAGAGCAGTTGGAGCATCTCAGGGCTCACCAGCTGGATTCATGTCAGTTACCTGCCAGGCAACGAGTTTGTGCAGGTATGCGCACTTGACGGGGCTTTGTGAGCGTGTCGTCGACATCGAAGAGCAGGACCGTGTTCTTGACAGGACGCTGGTCGAGCGGGGGGTATACAGCAGCAGCGGCGGCCATGATGGATGTACGGACCAGTGTTGGATTCTTGGACAAAAGCACTCAACGAGAAAGCAAAGGTGCTTGCGGATGCAGTGAGGGGGAAACAATTTGGAGGGGTCTTGCAGGGATGGCGGATCCTCACCGCAGTTTCGCGGCTGGCGTGCGGGGGGTGGGCCTGGTGCTCGCCGGGCAATGGCTGAGCGCCTGGACCCTGACAGCGCACGGTACCTGAATCCAATGCCTCAAGACGTGTCAATGTTCCTCTGCGCTTCCATAGGTCACTCGGTGCAAGCAGAGTCGCCCACGTGCAATGCTGCTGAGTAGGCAGCCCATTTCATACTAGCTGGTAGATACTACATGATGCATACAAAATCTCCCCATGGCCTAGCGCGAAGCCCCAATCTTGACTGCCAGCCCCTTCCATCGTCCGTTCCTCATGCCCAAAGGCAATGCCACTATCAAACTCCTCAGAGAGTCCTGTTCGTATTCGAGTTTTTCTAGCGTCACTGCCTGTAGAATGTAGCTGGTGACGGTGTTGCGCGAGAGCGGCGGATCTCGCGCCAGTCGCGCAATCTCGCCCACTGACATCTTCTGGTGGTGCCACAGATGGTAGGCACGGAGATGGGTTACAGTTGCGCGAATGCCAGAGCGGGGCGGGGTCTTTGGCGAAGGAATGGTAGACTGAGCGTAATTCTGTGCCCAAGTCGTTGCCAGCTCATATTCGGGAGCACGCGATGATTCATTTGCCGCATCAACAATTGACTCGTCTACCGCTGATGCAGATTCATCGTCTTCACCCAAGTCGAAAGAGGTAGCACTGTAATCCGAGAGATCGGCTGCTGTGGCGTCTTGAGCCCCTTGGTCCTTCTCCGATGCCACTTGTTGCATTGGTTGCGCCTTGACATTGGCAGCGGAGGCGTCGGGCTGCTCAAAAGCGACAGTCTTGACGTCCTCTTTCAAGTTTCCGGCCTCGTCAAGCGTCCAGTTTCCAAGAGCCTCTTCAAGTTCTGAATCTGCATACTCATTGTCGGTACTGTCTGAGCATCCGCTCGACTGAGACTCTTTCGTGCTCTCCTGTGATGCTTGTGGCAGTTTCGGATAGCCCGGGTCAGCACTGTCAAACAAGGAGGGTTCGTTCTTGATGGCTTTGCGCGCAGACTTTGGTGCCGTTACAGGTTCCTCGAGTTCATGGCTGTCTATGAGCTCTTCTGGGGCTGTCTCGTAGCCTTCACCATCCTGGCTGCTGTCTTGCTCTTCTGCAGAACCAACTGACGAATTCGAATCGGTATCAACAGCACTCTTGGCCTTGGTAGCCGCTTTTGCTCTTTTACGCGGTGTAGCACGAGGAGTAGGTTTGTTGTCGTAGTCGCAAAGCATCACGGGGGGAGGCGTCGGTGTCAGCTGCGTGCGTTTCCACTCCAGCATGTGATAGAGTCGAAATGCGGCGTACGCGTCAGCTGCTGCGTAGTGTATTTGTTGTAGGTTCAGCGGAAGACTCCAGTCGCTCTCTCGGACACTGGATGTGGTCTCTGGATCGTCTTCCAGCTGCTCGCCTTTGTACAAAGGCAATTGAAGGTGTGTAAGTACCTGGGTAGCAAGACTGACCAGTCGATTTGAGACCTTGCCGGGATCGACTGCATACCATTCCACAAGGTTGTGCAAGCGACTGAGCTCGAAGACGCCTTGAGGGTGGACCCGAAGATACCTTTCCACACGTTTAAAGTCTCCCTTGATGGCCACTCCTACTTTGATGATATCTGGTGATTCCAGGACGGCTTTCAGACTGGGAGGCATCAGTTGGTTCACCTTGGTCCCCGAAAACAGAGAGACATGGAACAAGGCAATCCGGTCTTCGCACGCAAGCTGAATCAGTGAAGTGTTTTGCTTGATCGCGGCTGGGTTCCCATAGGGCTTCCATTCAATGTCGAAGCCTACAACCTTTTCTTTGAGAAAATACTGCGCAACCCTCTCGGCAACATTGAACGTCTTGCAATAATGGATCGAAAGCGACTCGCCCTCGGGGCCCTGGTACAAGTTTGCGCTCCAGTAACTCGCACGTGTGTTGGGCGAAGCGAGCATTGCAGCACGTAGTGTGTCTTCTGGAATCTGGTAGGCAAGGGTTGTGTTGGTATTCGCCTCGTCTTCTGTACCGACTTCCGACTCGGTCTCGCCTTGTGAAGTAGTCTCACCCATGTCTGTGGACTCGGGCTCTTCTGAGGAATCAACACGGTACGACGACTGGCTTGGCTCTGAATAGGCGCTATCTTCCGTAGTTGTTTCTGCACCCTCTTCTGCATCACTACCACTATGGGTAGGATCGGTGCTAGTATGGGGTGGCTCGAATGCTGCAGCTTGGGGCTGTGCCACAGGTCTCGTGTCTATAGGAGCGGGGGCAGGCTGTTGTGCCTCTGCTGGCGACGTCGTTGCAAAGCGTAACCCGTACGATGGATCCCATAGCCCGACTCTCTGCAAAGGGCTCGTTGTTTGTACTTGCGCCGAAGAATGTTTGTTTGGAGTTGCTGGCGCTGCATTGCTGGAAGTAGGCTGGTTGGGCGGGAGTTGAGTGCTCGCGCCTGAAGGGGGATGCATCGCTCGAATGCTCGTGCGGCTTGCGATTACCGGTCGTCCTCGTCTCCACTGGCAAGATGTTGTGGGTGGCGGCGCAGCCTGTGGGTGTGGCGGGGTGTGCATTGCCCGTACAGTGTGAAGTGGGCTCTGGTATCGTGGATTGATGCCTCTGTGTCATGGTTAGCATGCGCCACACGGTCGTGAAGTGCTTGTTCGCACCTTTGCATGCGATGCTCTACTAGTTGCGGAATGCTTGCTGCGGCTTCACCGCAGCCAGGCCGAGGGGCGTGTGACGCGCTCAGCAGAGAGGCGCGTCGTTTGAGGAGCATGACACTCCATGATAGTGCTCCCGCTAGGCACCAGAGTTGGTATTGGGTCGTGTGGTGCAGCAGCAATTCTTGCACAGCACGTCTGTTGCCTGCTGGAGCGACGGGGCTTTGTGCGCGAGTATTGGCTGGCTGGTGTTAGCGCGTCGTCGATTCTTGTCACGGCCCTTGTGGCGGCGCCAAGACATGCAACCCAATCACCACCACTCCCTCTGCCAGCACCCTGCAACGCAACCGTCTGAACCAGGCAGACGCACACCCAGTCCACCCTCCACCGCGCCACCATGTCGCTCGAGAATCTGCTGCCCCTAGGTGAGGCTACACCGCAAGAGCTGGATGCGGGATGCTGACTGTTGCTGCAGAACTCATTGACAAATGCGTGGGTTCACAGATTTGGGTCATTATGAATGGCGGAAAAGGTGGGCTCGGGTGCAGCTGGACAGAGGGCAGAAACTAACGGCAGCCAGAGTTTACGGGCAAACTAGTCGGATTTGACGACTATGTCAGTGAGTAGGCTGCAGCAATGACTCCCTGGGCGCTTCTAACATGGCACAGACATGGTGCTGGAGAATGTGACGGAGATGTGCGTGGCTGCTTTGAGCCGTGTCTAGCATTGTCGTGCCGTACTGATGAGAGGCAGTGACCCAGCCGAGGGCAATGTCAAACTACCCAAGATCCTGCTCAACGGCAACAACATTTGCATGGTACGAGACAAGCATGGCCGGGAGATGTGCCCGTACTAATGTTTGCAGATGGTTCCTGGAGGAGATGGCCAAACCGTGCTCGAGGAGGAATAGCGCCACGGGGAAGCAGCGTCGAGGAGTGGACCAGCTGATGTACAAACGGCTGTATTATGGTCTGCCATGACGAGTCCACGGCTAGCAGTGCCGGGACCATTGACAGGCAGGCTTTCGACTCCAGGTACAGCAGACGGTAGCAAAGTAATGCATAGCATGCATCCGTATACAATGCGAGTGGGAATCTATGTCCCTGACGGCACGTGACCGAGGCGGCGAAGCAGCGAGTGAGGCACATGTATATAGATATGTAGTCGTACATGGACATGTGTACAGTATGCAAGGCACCCGACGGCGAGCAGGGCGTGGGCGTGGGCGTGGGCGTGGGCGTGGGCGGTGGTCACGATGTTCAGTGGAGAAAATTCAGGCGTGGCTGATGACATGGGCCAGGGTCCAGCATGACACGACCGGTTCGGACGGACTCTGTGACGGGGCGGGGCGGGCAGTTCTGTATGTAATACAGCAGGTGATGGCTACAAGCGCACAAAGCAGCCGCCATGGAGCATTACTCGTATGGCCATGGGTTGCAGGCATTGTGCAGGGCAAGCGTACGTACGTACACACATATATACAACAACATGGCACGATGTTGCGGGCGGGGTGCCAGTGCAGCGGGCGTGGGTTGGCAGCCAGGGCGGTTCCGCTCCGCCTGGCCGGCGAGCGTCGCACTGCCCACGGGCACATGCAACGAGGGGCCAGGCCGGCGAGGGCGCCGTCGTCGCAGGGCGGAAGGGGGCGCCCAGAACTCCTCTCCGCCCCCCGACAGCTACAGCTACTAGGCGTGGGTTGATCGTCGTCCAGCGTGCGGCTGCAGTGGGCTGACGACGAGACGGATAGGGTAGGGAGCAGCCAGAGCTGGAGGGCCATCGGCGATGCAGCCGGGGGGCAGGCTTCTGGATCTGCTATGGGCGTGGGTGCTTGGGAGCTGAGGGAGTGTGTAATAGGGTAGGGAGCAAGCAGCCTAGCCCAGCGCGTGGCCATGGCAGCGAGTTCCCCCGTCAACGGCTGATGCTGCGTCGCATCGCAGATCGATGGAGGTGCCTGTGGTGGTCTGTGGGCGGTGGTCTGTGGGCGGTGGTCTGTGGGCCATGGGCTTGGGCAGTGGGCTTTGGCGGTGGTGGTGGTGGTGGTGGTCGCTTAGCTGGGAGGGGCATAGGGGGTTACTATCACTGCTACTACAGTAATGCTAATGTGTATGATGGCCGTGGCCGTGGTGGTGATGGTGGTGGGCGGTGGTGCTGGGTTGCTGGCGACGGGGCGTGGCCAATCAGCGGCGGCGGCGGGCGGCGGGCGGCATCATGTCAGGTCGACGTCACCAGCAGCCGCGGCCGCCAGCTGGCGGGCACTGGGCCCTCTCACTCTGGCTGTGGCTGTGGCTCTGCGACATGCGACATGCGACATGCGACATGGACGTGCAGCATGCTTGTGTATGTGTATGCCGCCGCCCAGCAGCCCGGCCTCGTGGCGGGCCCAGCAAGAGTGCAGAGTGCAGAGTGCAGGCACAGGCGCACACCCACACCCAACATCGATACGGACTGCGGACATGGACGACATGGACGCGCCCTAGCGCATGGGCTGGCGGCGACGGTGCCGGGCTCCTGCGAACCGGCCCTATTCTCCCCCAATGTATCGGCGCTTCCTGCGTCGTCGATGCGGGCTCTGGCCTGCGATTCTTCTGTCCCCGTCCCAGCCAGCCCGCGTCATAGGGGCGGCGAAGATATCCCGCAAACAGCCAGCTCCCCGACTGCCAGCCTGACGCGTGCTGGCACTGGCGCTGGCACGCACTGCCATCGGCACCGGCACTGGCACCGCACGCAATCCCCCCCCCCCAGCTGCCACGGCGACCGACGACGGAACGCGCTCGCTGCCTCGACGGCCTCTGCTCTGCCTGCCCTGCCCTGCCCTCCCCCCCCCTCCCCCTGTCGGCGCGCTGCCACTGCCACTGCTGTCAAGGCCGCCGCCGCCGCCGCCGATCGCCTGCTCTGATCGCGACTGCCCTATCGCGCTGCCCTGGCAAACACTTCCTTCCTGTTCCATTTTTCTGCCCTCCTACTGCCTACCTCTCCCATGTCCCCGACCACCATCACCTCCACCACTCCTACCGCCAACGCCGCCGCCGCCACTGCTACTGCCACTCCGGTTGCTATTACTACTCATACTCCTACTCCTGCTCCTACCCCTACCGCCGTCGCCGCCACTACCACTACCACTACCACTACCAGCTCCACCTCCTCCTCCTCCTCCTCCTCCTCATCCTCCACCATCACCACTCCCTATCGCTCGCCCTCCTCCTCCTGCTCCTCCTGCTCCACCTCCCCCTCCCCCCCCGAGGCCGTCGACTCTCCCGCGCCACGCCAATTGCCCTTCATGATCGTGCCGAGTCTGGTCTGCTAGCCCTGTCCCGCTCGGTTGGGCCCTGCACCGCCCTCGCCCGGTTACTGCCCACGCTCACCGCAACCCGGGCCCTCTGCGTCTCTGGTTCGCGTCGCTGCCACAGCAAGCTCTGGATGCGCCAAATGAACCCCGGCCGTTTACTGACTCTCGCCGGCCGCTGTCCTGGCCGTGCCTATACTAGGCTGCGTCCACTCCCCTCTTTGACGGTAACCGAGACTCGTCCTGCCGCCATCACCACATAATTACAGAATTCTGCTGCTTCGGTCCGGGACCCACCTACCCCAAACCAACGTTGCGCGCCACCGCCCAGGCATGCGCCATAGTCGTTGACTGCTTGCTGCTCCTTCACTTGCTCTTCTCTGCGCCTCCGCGCCCTGCAACACTTTGACCCTAAGCTCCATTGTCCTGGCCAGTCGATCCGCCGCGAGCGCCCCGCTGCACCAATCACGCTGGCTGAGGCACACTCGGGCATTTCCTTTTTCATCCCTGTACACTAGTCTCTCGCCATACTCGACCTGCATCCATCACGCTCCATCCCAAATACCATTGCCACTAGTCGTCTAATATTGCAGGCTCACCCAACCCTCACTGACCCTCGCGCCTCCCCCACTCTCGGTCGCTACACTCCACTACCTACGCCGCCGCGCCCACGCCTTCCTACATGAGCGACTTGAAAGACCGTCTGGCGCGATTGGGTCTGTCCCAGTACCACCAAGTATTCGTAGCCGAAGGCTTTGACACGTGGGAGACAGTGCTCGACATTACCGAATCCGACCTGTGCGTCACATTCCCCTCCCGCCTACACGCCAACGGACCCTTGCTTACAGCTGCATAGGAGCTCCCTCAACGTCAAACTTGGCCATCGACGAGTATGTTGACAAGCCGCTTCTTGGGTACCCGCTCGTCCTTGCTAACGTGTTTCTGGTAGAAACTTCAACGGGCCATTGCCGAATCGCGCGGACAGGCATCTGAAAAGCCCCTTCCCATCAATCTCGCTCGGGCGGGAAGCACCGCGGGCTCGTACCGGAGTGATGATTCCGGTCCCGAAAGCAAGTCCAAGCAGCCCGAATCAAGCAGTACTGCATCTGGTGTAACAGGCGCTAAGCGAAAGTACCGGCGGCATCCAAAGGTTTGTTGATTTGCTCCGTAGCCGAAGCCAGCGTGCGCATTCTGACCTCCAAAATAGCCCGACGAACATGCTCCCGAACGTCCCCCTTCTGCTTATGTCATCTTCTCCAATCGTGAGTATCACTCCAGCATATCATGACCCCCGGGCTAACCCATGGCAGAGGTGAGAGAGTCCCTAAAAGGTCAGGATCTTTCCTTCACCGAGATTGCCAAAGTGGTTGGGGAGAAATGGCAAGTCTTGCCAGCCGAGGAGCGCGAAGGCTGCGAAAGACAAGCCAATGGGGCCAAGGAGAAATACTATGCAGAGTTGGCTGAGTACAAGAAAACACCCCAATATGAGGCCTATCAGAGATATCTGGAAGACTTCAAAGCAAAGCATTCGGTTCCGACAAAAGGTATGTGTCCTGCATCACGTAGTCGAGTTAGCGAGTATTGACCTATTCAGAAGGCAAGCGTTCGAAGCTGGATACAGAAACGAGCACGTCAACAAGAGCGGGCAGCAACGAACAGAATGATCAGGCAGCGAATAGAAGACTAAGTTTCACCCAGCCAGAAACCAATTCGATAACGCAACAAAAGCCGGATCCCAACCACCCGGTTGGCCCTTCGCGGCTTCCGGCAGGTCCTTCTTATACCTCCAAACCCACGTCGCCTACCAACCGCTCGCTTTCCGGCTTCAATTCTCCTCGCTCAGGCGAACAGTTCTCTCCGGTTTCTGCCTCTCCGCGCTCTGCAAACACACAGAGGGATGGTGTCTTTGAGCCGCCTGCCGCTAATTCGATGCGAGATCCCAGACTCCCCTTTGACGCCAATCCATACCAACAGCCGCCTCCATTCAATTCAGACCATAACCACCACTCATCATCGACCCCACCGCCACCTTCGTACACGTATGCATCGCATTATCAAGCGCCACCCGACTTCCCGTCTCGTAGGACACCGCGGGAATCAACGCGCCTCCCGCCTCTCAGTCACGAGGACACGACGTTATCTTCGGAAAGTGGCCATAGTGGCCAGGGGGTGCCCACGCCAAATTACCCTGAGCAGACGTTGCCCGCGGACCTCAGTAAGACAATGCGTATGCTCCCCCAGCCAGTCCCCAGCATAGGACCATCACCCTCACCGCTGGACCGCCCTGTGCCACCTGTGGCGACGTCACACTACCCTCACCACTCGCATGATTACCGAACGCAGGGCCCACTCGCGGTCCTAGTAAGAGCTGGAGAGCTGGCGTCTAGGGTGGCCGATGAGGATGCGGTAGAGCACGCAGGGTCGCCTTGATTCTTTTTCACGATCACGTTACAGTACACACGATAAACTACTGGTTCTCTTTCTGTCTGAGTCAGCGGGCGTTGTATGCCACGCCTAATCAAAATGCGCCACCGCCTATATAATCGGGAAAGCTGGAAATTGTTTGGACCCACCGCACATGGATCAAGCAACCGTTAGCGGAGACGCTTTACGTTTTCATATGTTATTTGATATTGTAAAAAGATACCCCAGACGCAACAAGTTGGCTTTCCAGATACAGTAAGCATATGGGGGAGGAAGATTTAGCGCGTGTGCAAGGGTAAGGAGGTTTGGATCAAAAGACCAGTTTAGAAGACGATGGGATACACACGCACAGGTAGAGGAAACATGGTTGAAAAGCAGTCGCTTCAGTCATTCCACGGCCCCTGGTGTTTGGAGTTTTCACGAAACACGCCATGACAATTAAAAGGCTGTGCAGCTAGCTCTGGACATGGCGGTAAGAGCGCGCGGGGTGTGTACCACTATCATTTGGATTATCTGACTGGATCCGTTTGCACAATGTCATGTGTTGTCTCAGCGCCGTAGGATCCTTGCTTAGAGGATCTGGGCCTATTTTCCCATGGGAAGCGTGCCACATGGCGTGATAAATGAAGCCATTGATCTGGACTCGACATGATGACGGACAAAGGCGTCGCACGCAACGCGGGTTCCATGGACTTGGATTGGAGGAAGAAGATGCCTTGGCAACAGATTAGCCTATGCGTTAGCTTGCCACTGCACGACCATGACAAGGCTGATGTGATGTGGATGAGACGACAGGATCTCGATGTGTGTGTGTGTGTGTGTGTATGATTTTTTCTGGGGGGGGGGGAAGGGGGGAAAAGGCGGGGGCCCGTGCCGCGACGTCGTCAGCCCATAGTGGCGGCGCGCGCGTGCGCGCCCGCAAAAAGTGACAGGGTCATAGATATTTGGCCATGTTGCAGAAACACGGAAAATGGCCCATGGCCATGGGCAAATTAAAGGTGGGATTTCCCACACAAAGTTTTTTTCCCACTCCCCCACCCCACCACCCTACTTACACTACCTATAGCCCCCTTGTCCCATCCATCCATCCACATCCACTCCCCATCCACCATGGAAGCTTTTCGGCATGCAGATCCTCAGCGATCCCTTTTCCCCTCCCCCCCCTCCTCTCATGCACAAGCACAAGGGTTCTTGTCTGTGCGTCACGTGAGATCCGCGGAAAGGGGTGGGGAGGGGTGGGGAGACATGGGCAAAGAGGATCTTTGCCTCTTTTTGCGCGCGCGCTTTTTTTTTGATTTGTGGTTTGCTATCTGGACCCAGTAATATGTTTCACTTGTGCTTGTAGACAGGGAAATAATGGATGTTGTATGGGTATGGGTATGGTATACATGGTTTTTGGTTGCTGTAATGATTATGCTAAGTGCTCCTCATCCTCATTCTCATGCCTTATGTACGTATATATATATATATATATATATATGTGTGTGTGTGTAAGTATTTTATTTTCATGATTCTAGCGCAAAGAGAAATTAGGTACTTAGTTATCACTTCCACTTGTAAAAAAAAAAAAAAAAAAAAAAAAAAAAAACGTCGACAAAGTTGAATGAGGATGCTAATTACCCCGCAGAGGGTTTACATGTATTCATATGTCGCTACTACTAACTGCTGAGTACTCGCAATGTGATTATATATATATATATATATATATATATTGACATGATAGATATATGATGGTATCTAGACTCCAGCTGGGTGGGGTTTGGTGGCTAGAGCTTCCAGTTGATAGGACGGCAGACTCTTATAGCACAGGGCATAACTAGGTAGAACAGCTGAGGTAGGGGAATGGGTGTAGTGATGGAGGTTGAAGAGATGGTTGCTTGTTTGTTTGCTTCTTGCTTCACATGCTCTCTTGTGCACTATCTCTTCTACTTATCTTGGGCTGCTCTCTCTCTCTCTCTCTCTCTAGTTTTAGAATAGGCAATTATATGCCCTTTTTTTGGTGTTACTGCTGCTGATAAGTCTATCTGACTAGCGAATCAACGCATATACCTTTGTACCGCGAAATGATCAATACTGCTGTCACCGCCGTTGCTACTGCTGTGGTTGTGGCTGTGGCTGTGGCTGTGGCTGTGGCTGTGGTTGTTGTGCATCGGGGCCTAGGTGTGTGAACGAGGTGTTATTTGTCCCTGCTTTTGTTGTTCAAGAGGGAGAGGGGGGAGTAGTGGGAAGTGGGAAGGGAGAAGTGGCGGGTAAATAGAGTGATATGACTTGTTAGTTGAGTCTTGCATTGAGATCAGCAAGGTAGTTTATATAGGCACTACTATAGTATATTACACTGGAAGTATGAAAAGTATGCGTGGATAGGAGGTTTGTGAGAAGGGGGGTTGGTGTGCATCTTGCGTGTTATAGGGGAGAGTAGTATATTCGGAGAAGAAGAAAAAATAAGTTTCTATTTCTCGGCGGGCGAGTTGATAGTACTTTGTTTGATTTATGAGTCATATTGATGGACTGACGCTGTGGATTGCACAATGCAGTGGAGTATATATGTACATATTTCTCCCTCTTTTTACATGTTGTCTTGGTTATATTGATAACCGAGTCTTAATGTATGAACAGAAGCTAGTAGTAGGGGTTTTCAATACAAAAAAGACGATGGTTAGTGCTAGGTCCCTGCAACTCCATGCGAATTCAGAGAAGAGGTCACGTTATCACACAGAGCAAGGCTTCCACGATTTAGTGCAAAGTTATACAAGAAATTAGGTTTTTTTTGTATTATAGAGTAGAAAAGAGTAAGCATTCTAATATTCCTCCTACTAGCATTAAGATCCTATCACATGGCTTTCCTAAAAGTCGTTCAACCCGTCACACTTAACTTCCAACACATTGTTTAGCCGTGCAGACATTAGAGCAGCAGTCAGCATTAACGCTGCAAGGTTCTATTAAGAATTAGCTTAGTATACTCTGAAAGAACTTAATAGACTCACCGCCGTTGGTATTCTTCTTGAAACCCTCACCGCCACAGAGAGGGCTGAATGTGTGTCCGCCATTCCCATCCTGATTATCAGCCAAAGGAATTGCAGCAACCAAGGCGACGAGAGTGAAGGAAGATAGGAGAAAGCTGCTTAATGAGAACTTCATGTTTGCAATGGGCTTGTTGGCGTATGATAGATCTAAGGAGGGTAGTTTTATTAAGAAGTTGTAGGTGATGTCTTTTGGAGGTGGCAAAACAAGCCGATTATATAGTGTTTTCTGCTTCATGACTTCTTTTTTTATCTATTCCCCTTTAAACATCACTCTTGTATTCGTCCGAGTTAGTGTGCTATTTCTCGTAAGTATTACAGACTAGTAAGCAGTACTTTAGTGTTGACATTGACCGCTGATATAGAAGGGCCTACTAAGCTTTCAGTTTTACTAAAAAGGCAATGTACAAGGTAATCATAATGAAAGGTACTTCCTATCTTGCTTGATTAGTATTTTGTCTCGTATGCGATCGAATTCTTGTACGCGATCTCATGTTCCCGATCTCTGTACACAACCTCTTTAGCTCACTACCAGGGCAAAGTACAAGCCACTATTTGGAGCTAGGCCTAGTACGTTAGACTTAAGGAGCCGAAGTAAAAGTAAGAAAGTTATCATTGATTTTATGAGTGATCTTGACGCACTAGCGCAGCTGATTTCAGGATAAACTAGGTAGTAAAATCTACTTAATAGCTAATCTTGGATATAGCAACTAGCAATTTTATCACACGCAAGGAGACTGGCTGTGGTTTTTATTAATGATATAGGGTGCATAGTTGGTGATAGGTATGGATAGTTTGTTATAAGTTCGAGGGAACTAGATCGTATTATAGTTCATAATAAAGAAGAATAACGTGGTTCATAAGCGAGTCGGTCACCCAAGCGAGTCGGTCACTCCCCACTAGCGCGTCGACGTTGATACTACAACGCGTTATGTCTTAACAACACAACTATTAATTAACTTATCCTAAATTAGATCGTTAACTTGCTTTTTTTTTAAATATCTAATTACAACGTGTTTAAAGCTAAAGACGCGCTGCCTCTATCTATAACGTGCCTTAAAGTACAATATCTAATTAACAGGCTAGTGTAACGATGTTACAACTTCGCCAAGTATTGAGCCAATCCCAGAGCCGGATCGGAGGAAGTACCTGCCGCCTTCATCAGCC